CTATGGTACCTGTCCTTTGATATAACCCCTTCACCCCTATGGTACCTGTCCTTTGATATAACCCCTTCACCCCTATGATACCTGTCCTTTGATATAACCCCTTCACCCCTATGGTACCTGTCCTTTGATACAATTTTTCTAAGATCACTAGGGTCACATAAACACTGACTACTGTATAATGTTACAATTATGTACTGGAACACAGGAGAGTATAACACAGTTATCACACTACCATCATCTCACTATACCAGCACGGTATGTTTGGTGGTTAAATGTTACGATTATGTAATGGAACACAGGAGAGTATAACACAGTTATCACACCACCATCATCTCACTATACCAGCACGGTATGTTTGGTGGTTAAATGTTACAATTATGTACTGGAACACAGGAGAGTATAACACAGTTATCACACACTACCATCATCTCACTATACCAGCACGGTATGATTGGTGGTTAAATGTACAATTTTTGTACACAAGATTAGGATTGTGTTCGGTACAATCTAGGACAATCATCACTGTTTACTTGTTCTGCTGGTGGCTATTCTAGGAGTCACCACCCATGGCTAAAATTACTTCAGGAGGGGACTGGAGGGGGTGGGGGTGGAGTTACCAAACAGAGCAAAGGTCAGATTTAAAAATGTTCAGGCAAAAACCAACCACAGAAAGTAATCCTTTGTCACTTGTCACACCCTACCATGTGACTAGAAGGCTTATTTAGCAAGACCTGGGCCTGTATTTGTCACTTGTCACACCCTACCATGTGACTAAAAGGCTTATTTAGTGAGACTTGGGCCTGTATTTGTCACTTGTCACATCCTACCATGTGACTAGAAGGCTTATTTAGCGAGACCTGGGCCTGTATTTGTCACTTGTCACACCCTACCATGGGACTAGAAGGCTTATTTCGTGAGACCTGGGCCTATATTTGTCACTTGTCACATCCTACCATGTGCCTAGAAGGCTTATTTCGTGAGACCTGGGCCTATATTTGTCACTTGTCACGCCCTTCCATGTGACTAGAAGTCTTATTTAGCGAGACCGGGGCCTGTATTTGTCCCTTGTTACACCCTACCATGTGACTAGAAGGCTTATTTAGCGAGACCTGGGCCTGTATTTGTCCCTTGTCACACCCTACCATGTGACTAGAAGGCTTATTTAGTGAGACCTGGGCCTGTATTTGTCACTTGTCACACCCTATCATGTGACTAGAAAGCTTATTAATTGAGACCTGGACCTGTATTCATAAAACCATTCTATTGCTCAAGCATGACTTCTCAAACCAACCTTCTTGTAGTTCTCTTAACCCTTTCACCACTTGGCACTACTATAGACCATTATGGACTTACCCAGATCAATATACATGGTCGAGTCTATTAAAGTTACATAGGGGTTTAAGGGTTAAATCATGAGACAGCAAAAGTCAACCATAAACATTGAAAACCATATACGACTTTAGGTCACTTTGAAAATCTTTAAGTATTTGACAAATGTGTGTTTGGATTTATTAGTTTATTTCAGGAACAAGGAATTTAGCATTAGCGCAGCATCTGATTAGGAGCACGGTTTCATGAATACCAGCCCTGCATTCTGTATCACAATGGAAAACGGTAATGTTGTAGAATTATGTCTGATATACACACTTTTTTCAAATCCATTCTAATTGACGAGACCATGAAATCTTCTCTTTCCTTGACTTGCTCTTCCAAAGAAGACTGGAAATCTGTTTGTCTGAAATAAGAGTTGAACAAGACATCAAATCTATAATAGTCCCAGAGGATTGACAATTTTTCGTATTTTTCTTCTTGTGACAAGAGCACCTGAGACTTGTAAGGTCAGTGATAATGTGATAGGTATAATTGTATTAATGTGTTGATCAGTTACCAATCCTACAGTTTTCAGATCTCCCTAGTACCTATACAGCATTTAAGTCTTTATGTATATAACACTCTCATAGAATCTCTCACCCCCTTGAGAGCAGATTCTGAAGTTGTCAAACATGAGGCTTTGCCCAATCAATGGGGTGAATTTTTCTTTTTCTCTTACCCTGTTCACCCATTGCGTATCATATGCCCAATGTAATGTTAACGTTACAGGCTATATTCAGGGTTGACATGGCGTGGATGGATTGTTGACTTGAAGTCATTGTGTTGTTGACGTGATGTCATACCATGTTATGAATAGGGGAAACCCCCAGTCTCAACCCTTGGGGGTGAGCAAAATGTTATGTTAACATCACTGGCTAAATTCAGGGTGAACGTGACATTGATGGATTGTTGATGTGACGTCATTGCATTGTTGAAGTGATGTCATACCATTGTTATGAATAGGGAAATCCCCCAGTCTCAACCCTAGTCTCAGACCGGTAAAAGTGTGGATACACCTGTCCAGGGTAAGAGAAAAAGATATCTCACATTGGTAAAATTGTGGATACACCTGTCCAGGGTAAGAGACAAGGATATCTCAGACCAGTAAAAGTGTAGATACACCCGTCCAGGGTAAGAGACAAGCATATCTCTCACTGGTAAAAGTGTGGATACACCTGTCCAGGGTAAGAGACAAGGAAATCTCATACCGGTAAAAATGCGGATACACCTGTCCAGGGTAAGAGACAAGGATATCTCAGACCAGTAAAAGTGTGGATACACCTGTCCAGGGTAAGAGACAAGGATATCTCTCACTGGTAAAAGTGTGGATACACCTGTCCAGGGTAAGAAAAAATATAACCCTTTTACATCACCCCTATACTTATATATCTTTGACAGCTGTTGAAATCTTTTGAAACTTCCCATGTAGCTTTTCAATTTTATGGAAAATGTTTTCTTAACCTTTTGAGACCAATTCTATACAAACAGCCCTATAATTGTAATTTTTATTTTTTATTTTTTTCCATGTGCCCAGTGATCACCCCCAATACATCGTTTTCATATTCTATGGCAGCCATTATACCCCTTTGAGACATTCCCTTTACATTCTTGTGATGTTTTCCCTGAACATTTTCAATGGCAGCCATTATATATACCCCTTTGAGACATCCCCTTTATATTCTTGTGATGTTTTGCCTGAACATTTTTTATGGCAGCCATTATACCCCTTTGAGACATCCCTCGTATACATACAGAACATCCATATCCTTCTGGAGGCGGTTGTACATTTTCCATACCATCCTGTATCGCTCCAACAATGCAAGGTACTTCTTGTCCTGTTAAGGTCAAAGTGGAACATTTTATATCACACTACACCCTAGCTATATAAATATCTTACAATCAAACTAAAACGATTGAATAATAAAGTGAGTATTTGAGATTTCTGATATGCACTGCCGAAATATTTGGCATGTATGTGTCACAATTTGTTTTCTAGACGATCTTGATTTTGTTTTCTTAAATTATTTTTGTATTGTTTTATGTCAACAACTTGAATCATTTAGAAGCCAAACAACACTAAGTATAGATGCTCACAAAAAGAGTACATTACGTTATACTGAAAGGTTAAAATGGTGATCTTGAAAACATTTCTTTTTGTTGAAATTTGAGTGAATTCCCCCCCCCCCCCCCCCTAACATATGAAACATGATTGTAAAAGACAATGTTACCCAATTAAGACTGATTCCAAATTAATTATTTTATTAATATTTGAGATGCGAATGTTTGGAAGAGAACCCCAGTGCTTTCTGTTGCACCTCCAATGAAGAAGAGTTCCAATTGGTTCCAATATTTCTGACTTTGAGTTGCTTATTGTTATGTTTATTATAATTATCACAGAAACACATCTGCCAAATGGATCCAATCCAGGGACACCTTGATCAAAAAGCGGGGAGTTTATACACTGTGCTACCAGCTGTCATGATATTAATCTGTTTTATTATATGACTGGTGCTAATTCCCAGCCTTGATTGAAGGAGCGACGTCATGTGACGAGTCTGTAAATATGTTACAGACCTCGTTCTATGAATAGAAAAGGGTTACAGACCTCGACCTATGAATAGAAAAGTGTTACAGACCGCTACTAAAAATAGGTCTAGGTAACTTCCCAGCCAGTCTGTAATTCTGTTACCAATCACTACTGAATTCAACTGCAAATGAATTATCTCATCAAATTCTGAACTATGTGAATATTGATGATGTGGATTGTGCAAATAATATTTACTTTAAATTAAATATCACTTGAATTGAATCTGGAATTCTATTTTTGTGTATGTTATTTTGTATTTGAAGTCCTACACTCTGTGATTCCAAAATGATCCATGTCGTTCATGTGTTTATGACTTGCAAAATTATTAATCTCATTGTAAAATGTCATATAATAAAACAATTGTGGACTTACGTTTTGGTCTATCCCTGATTTACGGACCAGGTCTGAACAATAATCACCTCGGCCTTCGGGCTCTGTGAATATTGTTCATACCAGGTTCGTAAATCAGGGACAGACCTCACCTGAAGTCCATAATTGTATAATGTTAATATTTTTCTGCAACATACCTTTGAATAATTTTAAAATATTAAAACTCCGTACAATTCCCTCCACAACCTACATTTTTCTCTGTATAAATACAGACACAATAATATAAATTCAACAGAAAAAAACATTTCAATGAAAGAAAATAGTTGGGACACTCTACCTTGAGACTAATTTGTGAACCTAGGATCTGGTTTGTTAACACAAATAATTAAAGACTGAATCCTGTTCTGTTCAGGTTTATGGGGTTTAAATTACAACGGCCCTTGAGAAACATTTATGAAAGTAATTTCAGATTTGTCTTGATACTTGGTGGGATTTACACCCCCACCAACCTCAGCAGCACATGGTTCAATCCTATGACTTTCGTTGAGCACTTACTGATGAGGAAAGATCAGATATTTCCTCAAACTTCTGCAGCCGCTCCTTGGCCTTTCTCAGTCTGCGTGACAATTGGGTGGTTTCCATCTTGGCTGCCTCCACATGTTTGACCCGAGCCTGTAAAGTCGGAAAACACATAACAGATAAGACACTTCAGGTCCAGAATAGTTCAATGTGGTGGAGTTCAAATAATCCAAGTAAAAGACATTTAGCCAGTTATTCGATTGGAAGACCCCGAACCAGTTACCAAAATCAATAATAAAATAGTGTGACATGTATTTACCCTCATGGGGAGCTCCTTGTGTACTATCTTATACTTACAAATTCTCTATTGATATTGATAAGACCAAAATCAGATTTTTTTGGCAATAAAAACAATTGACCAGTCAGGGTGTTGTTTTTGTATTTGATAGTTATGATTGACAAAGAGGTGCTGACCACACCATAAAAAGCCTTACAAGATTTTAAAAGGAAGCCAGAATGCAAGGTTGGGAAATGGAAAATTTGCTATTATAACATATAATGTATTTATTGTTGTTTAAACTGACCGATTAACCAGTTACTCTGTAGGATTATTTTTTTTAAGTAAACAGTTACTAAAATCCATACATTTTGACAACCCTAATTACACATTGACAAAATTAAATACTGAGCAAACAAGAATTATACAGTTTTTTCAAAGCCAAAATGTCTTAGGAAGAAAATAAAGGTCATCATTAGACTTTATAAAAAATATTTTTTTCTGTAAAATGAATGTATACACTATTTGTTATTAAATTAAATTCACTTCAAAGTTGAAATAAAATACATTATAATAATGAAAATATAATCGTTCTTCATTTCTACATAAAGTGTATGTCCCTAAATTTCTAATGACTTTTAACATATCAGATTACATTTTAACTAAAAACTTAATTTGGAGCAAAAGCTTTAGCCTAAAGATCTCAGTTAATCTCCAGAAACATAAAACGTTGCACATCTAAATTTGCATGTTAGTGTGGATGAATTCTTCTGGCTTCTGTTTTCACATTGTCAAATATCCAATTTAGTATGGAGCATTACATGTAAACCTTTCACCCCTATGTAACTTAAGTAGACTCTTCCAGCTGGCATTGATATGGATGAGTCCATCATGGTCTACAGTGGTGAAAGGGTTAAACTATGATATATTGCTACACTGCAAACAGGTTATAAACACTATATTATAATACATTCCTTTTGCAGATTGGTCATTTGCTATATTGACCTATTTTAGTTAATCTAAACATAAACAGGTGACTATATTGGATCTAGGAAGGCAACTTACATTTTGAGACAGGTATGAGACTTAAACAGGTGACTATTGGAGCTAGGTAGACAGCCTCCTTTTTGAGACAGGTACGAGACTTAAACAGGTGACTATTGGAGCTAGGGAGGCAGCCTATTTTTTGAAACAGGTATGAGCTTAAACAGGTGACTATTGGAGCTAGGTAGGCAGCTTACTTTTTGAGACAGGTATGAGACTTAAACAGGTGACTATTGGAGCTAGGTAGGCAGCTTACTTTTTGAGACAGGTATGAGACTTAAACAGGTGACTATAGGACTATGGGAGCTAGGTAGGCAGCCTACTTTTTGAGACAGGGATGAGGCTTAAACAGGTGACTATTGGAGCTAGGTAGGCAGCCTTCTTTTTGAGACGGGTATGATGCTTTAACAGGTGACTATTGGAGCTAGGTAGGCAGCTTACTTTTTGAGACAGGTATGAGACTTAAACAGGCGACTATTGGAGCTAGGTGGGCAGCCTACTTTTTGAGACAGGTATGAGGCTTTAACAGGCGACTATTGGAGCTAGGAAGGCAGCCTACTTTTTGAGACAGGTACGAGACTTAAACATGAGACTATTGGAGCTAGGTAGGCAGCCTATTTTTTGAAACAGGTATGAGCTTAAACAGGTGACTATTGGAGCTAGGTAGGGGCAGCCTTCTTTTTGAGACAGGTATGAGGCTTTAACAGGCGACTATTGGAGCTAGGAAGGCAGCCTACTTTTTGAGACAGGTACGAGACTTAAACAGGCGACTATTGGAGCTAGGTAGACAGCCTCCTTTTTGAGACAGGTACGAGACTTAAACAGGTGACTATTGGAGCTAGGTAGGCAGCCTATTTTTTGAAACAGGTATGAGCTTTAACAGGTGACTATTGGAGCTAGGTAGGCAGCCTACTTTTTGAGACAGGGATGAGGCTTAAACAGGTGACTATTGGAGCTAGGTAGGAGGCAGCCTACATTTTGAGACAAGTATGAGGCTTTAACAGGTGACTATTGGAGCTAGGTAGGCAGCCTACTTTTTGAGACAGGTATGAGGCTTAAACAGGTGACTATTGGAGCTAGGTAGGAGGCAGCCTACATTTTGAGACAGGTATGAGGCTTTAACAGGTGACTATTTGAGCTAGGTACGCAGCATACTTTTTGAGACAGGTAAGAGAGTTAAACAGGTGACTATTGGAGCTAGGTAGGCAGCCTACTTTTTGAGACGGGTACGAGACTTAAACAGGTGACTATTGGAGATAGGTAGGCAGCATAGTTTTTGAGACAGGTATGATACTTAAACAGGTGACTATTGGAGCTAGGTAGGCAGAATAGTTTTTGAGACAGGTATGATACTTAAACAGGGGACTATTGGAGCTAGGTAGGCAGCCTACTTTTTGAGACAGGTATGAGGCTTAAACAGTTGACTATTGGAGCTAGGTAGGCAGCCCACTTTTTGAGACAGGTATGAGACTTAAACAGGTGACTATTGGAGCTAGGTAGGCAGCCTACTTTTTGAGACAGGTATGAGACTTAAACAGGTGACTATTGGAGCTAGGTAGGCAGCCTACTTTTTGAGACAGGTATGAGACTTAAACAGGTGACTATTGGAGCTAGGTAGGCAGCCTACTTTTTGAGACAGGTATGAGACTTAAACAGGTGACTATTGGAGCTAGGTAGGCAGCCTACTTTTTGAGACAGGTATGAGACTTAAACAGGTGACTATTGGAGCTAGGTAGGCAGCCTACTTTTTGAGACAGGTATGAGACTTAAACAGGTGACTATTGGAGCTAGGTAGGCAGCCTACTTTTTGAGACAGGTATGAGACTTAAACAGGTGACTATTGGAGCTAGGTAGGCAGCCTACTTTTTGAGACAGGTATGAGACTTAAACAGGTGACTATTGGAGCTAGGTAGGCAGCCTACTTTTTGAGACAGGTATGAGACTTAAACAGGTGACTATTGGAGCTAGGTAGGCAGCCTACTTTTTGAGACAGGTATGAGACTTAAACAGGTGACTATTGGAGCTAGGTAGGCAGCCTACTTTTTGAGACAGGTATGAGACTTAAACAGGTGACTATTGGAGCTAGGTAGGCAGCCTACTTTTTGAGACAGGTATGAGACTTAAACAGGTGACTATTGGAGCTAGGTAGGCAGCCTACTTTTTGAGACAGGTATGAGACTTAAACAGGTGACTATTGGAGCTAGGTAGGCAGCCTACTTTTTGAGACAGGTATGAGACTTAAACAGGTGACTATTGGAGCTAGGTAGGCAGCCTACTTTTTGAGACAGGTATGAGACTTAAACAGGTGACTATTGGAGCTAGGTAGGCAGCCTACTTTTTGAGACAGGTATGAGACTTAAACAGGTGACTATTGGAGCTAGGTAGGCAGCCTACTTTTTGAGACAGGTATGAGACTTAAACAGGTGACTATTGGAGCTAGGTAGGCAGCCTACTTTTTGAGACAGGTATGAGACTTAAACAGGTGACTATTGGAGCTAGGTAGGCAGCCTACTTTTTGAGACAGGTATGAGACTTAAACAGGTGACTATTGGAGCTAGGTAGGCAGCCTACTTTTTGAGACAGGTATGAGACTTAAACAGGTGACTATTGGAGCTAGGTAGGCAGCCTACTTTTTGAGACAGGTATGAGACTTAAACAGGTGACTATTGGAGCTAGGTAGGCAGCCTACTTTTTGAGACAGGTATGAGACTTAAACAGGTGACTATTGGAGCTAGGTAGGCAGCCTACTTTTTGAGACAGGTATGAGACTTAAACAGGTGACTATTGGAGCTAGGTAGGCAGCCTACTTTTTGAGACAGGTATGAGACTTAAACAGGTGACTATTGGAGCTAGGTAGGCAGCCTACTTTTTGAGACAGGTATGAGACTTAAACAGGTGACTATTGGAGCTAGGTAGGCAGCCTACTTTTTGAGACAGGTATGAGACTTAAACAGGTGACTATTGGAGCTAGGTAGGCAGCCTACTTTTTGAGACAGGTATGAGGCTTTAACAGGTGACTATTGGAGCTAGGTAGGCAGCCTACTTTTTGAGACAGGTATGAGGCTTTAACAGGTGACTATTGGAGCTAGGTAGGCAGCCTACTTTTTGAGACAGGTATGAGGCTTTAACAGGTGACTATTGGAGCTAGGTAGGCAGCCTACTTTTTGAGACAGGTATGAGGCTTTAACAGGTGGCTATTGGAGCTAGGTAGGCAGCCTTCTTTTTGAGACAGGTATGAGGCTTTAACAGGTGACTATTGGAGCTAGGTAGACAGCCTACTTTTTGAGACAGGTATGAGGCTAAGTAGTTTAACTACAGGTGTTACCTAACAGAACAATGTGCTACCTTCGACTCCTCATCCTTTAGGCGGTCAACAGATCGTGTCTTGGTCACTTGCTGTTGATGAGCTGCTAGCTCCTTTGAGGCCTCAATAGCTCCCTTGACCATCATACGCATAGCCAGGAATGCGTTCGCTAACGTCAGCCCCATCTTGTGCATATCTGGGCAATAACAGAATGTATATCATGGTAGCTTTTCAGGAAATGCCAAAGTTTACATCATTTTATTATACATGATTAGTATGCAATTAAATTAGCATGACTTAGTAATCTATTTTCTATCACATAGTGAAATTCTACTCTCCTAAAAAGACAATACAAATGTGAAATTCTACTCTCCTAAAAAGACAATACAAAACAAGAGGCCCATGGGCCTTAACAGTCACCTGAGTTCTACAGTATTTATTTTTGTTGTTGAAATATGTACCGATTTGAGTAAAAAATTGTTAAGTATAACATTAACTTAAGTTTGTCAGGACCATTTTCAGTTAGATTGGCCTATTAGAACTTGTTTTTAAGTTTGAAATAGGTATTTTAAAAATAGCGGCCATGGCAGCCAAATTGTATTTCTAAAATAACAAAATTTTGTCAGGACCATGAGTCGATCATTCCTACAAAGTTTCTGTTCAATCAGTCTAGCAGAACTTGACTTTAAGTTTGAAATAGTTTTTTTCAAAATGGCGGCCGTTGCGGCCATATTGGATTTCTGATCGACCCAAAAAATATCATCACTTTGTCAGGACCATGAGTCGATCATTCCTATTAAGTTTCAGTTCAATCGGCCAAGTAGAACTTGACTTTAAGTTTGAAATAGTTTTTCAAAATGGCGGCCTTGACGGCCATATTGGATTTCTGATTGACCCGAAAAATAACAACACTTGGTCAGGGAGATCTCAGTAACCTTCCCATGAAATATTAATGAAATCCCTTTGCCAGTATTTCAGCTTAAGTTGAAAATGTAAAATGTTAACGGACGACGACGGACGAAGACGGATAGCAATAGGTCACTTGAGCTATACCTCAGAGCCCACTTGTATAAAACATCTCAAAGTTAAGGAAAATCTCAAGCAATGTATTGTCTATGGGAAATTTTAGACTTGAGGAAATCTAAAGAGTTGAGATGTTTTATACAAGTGGGCCCTGGTGACCTAAAAAGACAATACAAATGTGAAATTCTACTCTCCTAAAAAGAAAATACAAATGTGAAATTCTACTCTCCTAAAAAGACAATACAAATGTGAAAAAATTGAAATCTATTTTATGTAACACTGACTTTGACCTGATGCTGAACAAGTTCAAACTTGTCAAAGGTATGTCCAAGGCAAACAGTGTTGTTAGGTTTCATAATAATCCATCAAGAAGTATGGCCACTAGATTGATGAAAAGACATTTTCTGTTAATATTTTATCTATCAATTGTTACCTTCACCATACTTTTCAAAGGCGTGTCCAAGGCATCATGTTATGTCAGGTATATGATATGGAGATGCTAAATTTGAAGGTGAACTAGATCCCATTTCACTGAATTTGAGGATCGCATTAAATTTGAGGGTCTCATTAGATAAAGTCATATGGACCAGGTGAGCTGAAAATAATTGTCAGACTCAGCTCCTTAAAAAAAACACTTACACTCAACAACATTTCCCACCAGCAATGCCAGCATTTCTCGGGGATCAGGTACAAGCTTAGAGGAGCATCAGAGAAAAGGAGAGACAGAAAAAAGAAAGGAGAAAAGAAAACATAGAGATATGAAAATTTGAAAGAAAGGCTGAATGACACATGTCAGCGGGAAGGAAGAATTTGCAAAATACAAGTGTATAACAAAGCATGGGTCAGGTGAGCTAAACAGCCTAACATATATATATATTTGTCCAGCTGCCAGTGAGGTGAATAATGAGCCATTGGCCACTTAAATTTGCAACACTTTGAACCCTTTTAAAATGTTCATCACATGATCTTGGGAACTTAATCAGATGCTTCTCTCTATGTATGATGAAAACTTGAAGTACAAATGGTTCAAATGTATCATAATCTTTATTTAACTCATTCACATTTGAACTCTTCCAATTCAAAGGTTGGAATAGTTCATTATGAAATTTCAGGGCTGAATGAGTTTAAGAGTTTAAGTAACCTTTTGCACTTGAGATTTTACTCTTAGTAACCAAAGGTTAATGGCTGGTGCTTAGTAAACAATTATGTCGTGACAATTGCATTACTTAGTGAGAAAATAGTGCAAATTAAATAATCTTGATATCTGACCTGTGACCTTCATACTTATTTCTGGATTCATTACTTTTCAAAGAAATAAGTGTTGAAAAAATTAACTATTTATAATACTGTAGCTTTGTGACCTTGAATTTCAGCCTCTGCGACCTTCACTCTGGTACCGTAGGCCTGATAAACAATGCTATCAGGTCTGGTTAAACACTAAAGTCATTCTTCTGATAGAAACACAGGTTAGAGATTAAGGTGATTGAGGTGCAGAGGTCAAGGTGATTATAGTGCAGAGGTCAACGTGATTGTAGTGCAAATGTCAAAGTGATTGAAGTGAAGATGTCAAGGTGATTGTAGTGAAGATGTCAAGGTGATTGAGGTGCAGAGGTCAAGGTGATTATAGTGCAGAGGTCAACGTGATTGTAGTGCAAATGTCAAAGTGATTGAAGTGAAGATGTCAAGGTGATTGCAGTGAAGATGTCAAGGTGATTGTGGTGCAGATGTCAAGGTGATTGTAGTACAGATGTCAAGGTGATTGTAGTGTCAAGGAGATTGTAGTGATAGTGAAGATGTCAAGGTGATTATAGTGAAGACGTCAAGGTGATTGTAGTGAAGACGTCAAGGTGATTGTAGTGAAGATGTCAAGGAGATTGTAGTGAAGACGTCAAGGTGATTGTAGTGAAGATGTCAAGGAGATTGTAGTGAAGATGTCAAGGGGATTGTAGTGAAGATGTCAAGGTGATTGTAGTGCAGATGTCAAGGTGATTGAGGTGCAGAGGTCAAGGTGATTGTAGTGAAAAAGGTCAAGGTGATTGTAGTGCAGATGTCAAGGTGATTGTAGTGCAGATGTCAAGGTGATTGTAGTGAGGATGTCAAGGTGATTGTAGTGAAGATGTCAAGGTGATTGTAGTACAGATGTCAAGGTGATTGTGGTGCAGATGTCAATGTGATTGTAGTGACAATGTCAAGGTGATTGTAGTGCAGATGTCAAGGTGATTGTAGTGAAGATGTCAAGGTGATTGAGGTGCAGAGGTCAAGGTGATTGAGTTAGAGAGGTCAATATTACCTTATCTGGGATAAGGTTAGGCATCTGTGTGAGAGCGTAGGCAGGCTCCTTCAGATGTTCTTTCTCTAGGACGGTGACTAAGTGGTCCCGGAAGTGAATAATGGCTCGCAGCACCCTCAATGTATCCTTCTGAATGGCGTGAAGGTGGTCCTTGTGATTGTTCTCAACTCGACGTACTGCAGCAATGTTCCTGTACAAAATCATACACATTGTAGTAAGTAATCTGTAAAAGGGAAATAGTTTACATTATAACCCCTCAAAATTATTGGAGTGGAGATTGTCCCATGTGTAAGTGATGCTGCAATATAACACAGTATATTCATTAGTGCATATTTTGTACTGATATAAATGAAAATGAAATAATTTAATTTCAAAATAATTTTTATTGTTGCAATTAACAATAGGCTTTGAACACACGTGCATTGCCTATAAACGCCCTTTCCATATAGACAGACATACATTTCAAACATATACTGCATGTAAATTAAAGGTGTAATATATTAAGTTTAGGTAGATACAATGTAGGGTAGGTCGAACCAATAAGCAAGTTTTATATATATATGTACATAGATATTAGCAGTCTAATTGGAATATCAGAGATTATAACAGGGTAGAACTAGTGTTTGGTTAGGGCACTTCAAAGTCACTGTCACTACACACAGTGCCATATTAACCAGTTACACTAGAATGGCATGAAATAAATGATACATAATATAATATGTGGTACAATATAGTTAAAATCTTCCATATGAAATAAAAAATGTATACTTTTACATTAGTTTGACCTCTCACTGTTAAATTCGATAAAATTTCTATCTTTACAATATTGTCCTAAGACAATTATTTAACATACATGTAAAACTATTGGCCATACCCAGTACTAGATATGAAATATCAGCCATACCCAGTACTAGATATGAAATATAAGCCATACCCATTACTAGATATGAAATATCAGCCATACCCAGTACTAGATATGAAATATCAGCCATACCAAGTACTAGATATGAAATATCAGCCATACCCAGTACTAGATATGAAATATCAGCCATACCCAGTACTAGATATGAAATATCAGTCAAACCCAGTACTAGATATGAAATATCAGTCATACCCAGTACTAGATATGAAATATCAGTCATACCCAGTACTAGATATGAAATATCAGTCATACCCAGTACTAGATATGAAATATCAGTCATACCCAGTACTAGATATGAAATATCAGTCATACCCAGTACTAGATATGAAATATCAGTCATACCCAGTACTAGATATGAAATATCAGTCATACCCAGTACTAGATATGAAATATCAGTCATACCCAGTACTAGATATGAAATATCAGTCATACCCAGTACTAGATATGAAATATCAGTCATACCCAGTACTAGATATGAAATATCAGTCATACCCAGTACTAGATATGAAATATCAGTCATACCCAGTACTAGATATGAAATATCAGTCATACCCAGTACTAGATATGAAATATCAGTCATACCCAGTACTAGATATGAAATATCAGTCATACCCAGTACTAGATATGAAATATCAGCCATACCAAGAACTAGATATGAAATATCAGCCATACCAAGATATGAAATATCAGTCATACCAAGTACTAGATATGAAATATCAACCATGCCAAGTACTAGATATGAAATATCAGTCATACCAAGTACTAGATATGAAATATCAGTCATACCCAGTACTAGATATGAAATATCATATATGCCCAGTACTAGATATGAAATAACAGCCATACCAAGTACTAGATATGAAATATCAGTCATACCCAGTACTAGATATGAAATATCAGCCATACCCAGTACTAGATATGAAATATCAGTCAAACCCAGTACTAGATATGAAATATCAGTCATACCCAGTACTAGATATGAAATATCAGCCATACCCAGTACTAGATATGAAATATCAGTCATACCAAGTACTAGATATGAAATATCAGTCATACCCAGTACTAGATATGAAATATCAGCCATACCAAGAACTAGATATGAAATATCAAAGATTTAACAATTACAATTACCCTGGTATGTCATGTCTACATCGGGATTTGAACAGAAATTTGGCAGAATGTAATACTTGGAAATGTTAAACAATAAAAAAGTGATTAGGTAGGAGAGTGGATATGGGCTATTTTGCATTTTCATTTATGATATCTTCCTTTTTAAATGAGACATTTAATAGAAGCTATCATATTTAACTACGTGTAAAAATCCTCTTCCGGCATAAAGAGGAAAAATGGAAATCTAGCATTTTTAGTTGTTTGTTTGTATTTTTTTAAAGGACATTTAAGGGTTAGGGTTAAACTTCTTCCTGATCTCATGAACTGTCCAAGGTCTGAACACCTAATAATAAAACCTCTTACCTTGACTTTTCCTTCTTGAGGAAGCCCTTAAGTTTTTCTATCTCCGTGTTAAACTCGTTCTTCATGCCTGACAGCAGTGTCTTGTAATAGGCAGAGTCCTTCTCAACATCTTGTTGCTGAACCAAGTGAAACAAGTATGGAATGTGAAGCCCTGCTTCCAGACAATATACTCAATACACACTATAAATGTGCTAACAGCTTATCTCTCAATTAACTACTAGGCACATTTACTTATCCAGACTATGAACTTTTTAATCCAGGTACTGAATAATTTCATTTATGGGTTAATTCTGTATTCAATAAATCAGAAAATTCATTGTTATTTATAACAAAAACAATGTACACAGTAATTGCATAGAGTTTTATTAATCACATTGTACAATAATTACCTGCACATGTGGAAAAATTATATATATATATCTTTGATTTCTTATGATATGCCTTACCGGGGCCTCGACTGGCATTTCAATCATGTTGACTGTATCAGGTATGGCGTCCATAGCTTCCTCCGTGGCACGCTCGGCCTTCTCTAGGTCTGATCTTAGTATCCGCACATTCTCTACAAACAATTAAGGGCATACTCTACCTTACCAGGACGCATTATGCAAAAGAGGTCCAACACTATCATAATGTAAAATTACTTGTAAAATGAAGATTAATCTGGACACAAGAAAGTGTAGTTTACACAAAAGTAGGTATTGATTAATGGAGGCATTTCAAGGGAGATAACTTCCAAATATATTTCCATTAAGGATAGTTCAGGGTTTAATTTCAACAAAATCTATAAAACAGGATTCGGAATGGGCATAATGCTACCAAAATAATGAAAGTCAAAAATAAATCACTAGCGCATAAGTAGCTAGGGTATTGATCATGAGTACAAAAAAATCATAAATACTAATCAAAAAAGTATAAGTAGGAGAACTTTGGACAATGTTTGTACAAGGAAAATCAGAAATGGGGCAAAGGACACATCTCTTGTTCTTATATTTATTTGGTACAGACACACAGTTCCTCAGGACAGAGAAGCAGAAGCAGACACACAGTTCCTTAGGACAGAGAAGCAGAAGCAGACACACAGTTCCTTAGGACAGAGAGTCAGAAGCAGACATACAATTCCTTAGGACAGAGAAGCAAAAGCAGACACACAGTTCCTTAGGACAGAGATTCAGAAGCAGACATGCCGGAAATAATTCAGGCTTTTCACTGACTTTGGATTTGTATATATATGTGGTAAATATGCATGAATCGTGGATGGCAAACTCAGCTACAGACATTTGCACATCAAATTTGGTTAAAATCAAACCATTTTAAGGGGAGTTCTTGCATGGAAACCAATAAACTAATGCATGGAAACCAATAAACTAGTGCATGGAAACCAATTACAATAAACTATTGAATGGAATACATGGAAACCAATAAACTATAACATGGAAACCAATAAACTAATCAGAAGAGGGTAGCCTCATTGATCATATGTACATATACGCACATCAAATTTAGTTTTGCATTTGCCAATAAGTATGAAAAGCACATCAAATTCGACTGAACTCTAATTGTTTATTTTGTAACTTAAAATCAGACCCATACCTGTTTTTGACTACTCAAATTTTGACCTGTTTTGACCTCTTCAAACTCCCCCTCCCCATGTTTTACTTTGTTATGATGTCTTTGACCCATCATGTTTCAACCTGTTGTGACCTCTATGACCCCTCACGTTTTGACCTGTTGTGACCTCTGTGACCCCTCACGTTTTGATCTGTTGTGACCTCTATGACCCCTCACATTTTGACCTGTTGTGACCTCTATGACCCCTCATGTTTTGACCTGTGGTGACCTCTATGACCCTGTTTTTGACTACTCAAATTTTGACCTGTTTTGACCTCTATGACCCCTCACATTTTGACCTGTTGTGATCTCTATGACCCCTCATGTTTCGACCTGTTGTGACCTCCATGACCCCTCACGTTTTGACCTGTTTTGACCTCTATAACCCCTCACATTTTGACCTGTTGTGACCTCTATGACCCCTCTCATTTCGATTGTTGTGACCTCTATGACCCCTCATGTTTTGACCTATTGTGACCTCTATGACCCCTCAAATTCTGACCTGATATGACTTTTGCCTACCTAGCTCATGCTTTAACTGTAGGTCCATTTCTCTCAGTTTTTCCCTCAGGATTTCAATTGTGTCCTGCAAAAGAACGGAAATACATAAATAGCCCATAAATGATTTCATTTGGTTTCATTTCTCATACAAAAACAAAACATTGGACAAAACTGTTTGGGATCATCAAATCTAAAATGATATATTTTTTTAAATTACAAGACTCACGCTGGCAGGACTAGAAAAAGTGTAATATGTTTGCAACAAATTTACCTAGTGTTGAAATCACCAACATATATGTAATTGGGTATATATGGGGTGAGTGTTCAATAGTTGTTTTAATGTGTATGTTACTACATGTATAGAATCTGGAATTTTAAGTGTGTATGAGTAATTTGCAATAGAAAAAGTATATGTTTGATAATAATGATATTTATGTAATTATGTAAAGAATGAATTTATAACCTTTTGGAAAAGATGACTGAATACATACATTCAAGTTAACGATTTAGAAATTAGTATATTAATAAATATCATTTTATATTTAAGCATTGAACTGTTTTTGTATGGTATTTATGATCTATTTAAATGACACAGCTTTGCAAGCAAATAAATCATAATGAGCAATACTTATATTTATGTTTTCTCTGCCTTGTTCTTTTTTAACTTACAATTTATAATTCCCGCCTTATCGACAGTCCACACAAATTCGTTAAATAGTTGGAACAGTGTATTGTCGCGTGATGACTGGCAAACAAAGTAGTACTTTGAAATTTTAACAAACACTTCAATTTTATTCCACAATTCAGTATCAATACAATTGCGTATGATATGTCTATAGGGTGATTTAAATTTATCAATAGAAATCAGAGCTGAAAGTCAGATATGAAATTGTGTGATTTTTCCCCGGAACAAATTTCGCGCATGGATAAATACAATGAACACTGTGAATCGGACCTTGCCCTCTACGAAGGAGTGATTTTTGGAAGTTGAATGAGTAGAGAGAAAAGTTTGAACTTTTGTTGATTGTATGAGAACCTGACTACAGTCGGTAGATCCTACAACAGCCTCGTTATTTGACATGTCGTCAGAAACTGAGGAAACCGTGGCTGATAGACGCGTGATATTGATAGCGTTTGAAGTGAGTGATCTTGTGACGGAGCACTGGGGTTCGTTACAAAAGTATGAAATACACATATGCCTTGTGTATGTTTATGTGTGCTGTGACTCATGTCAGTAGGTCTATAGCATTATGTGTCAGTAGGTTTATTTATTATAGACATTTGTAATGAACCCCTGTTGATCAGTGCAGTGTAACAGACAATATTTCTGATAAATTGCATGAGTGTTAAAATTGCCGGCATTGGTTATTTCAACCTTGGTCTTGTTTTTGTTGCAATAAAAGTTTTTTTTTTGAATATTTTCTTTTCTTTTTTGCACATTTACAATAACATTGTCAAGTCTCACAATGCCCAGCGATATTTCAGCAGCCATCATATTTATTTACATTGGATATTGTAGTTCCTGTCAGTGTTGTATTAATACGCTAAGAATTATGTCTCGTGGTGAATGGTATTTAAAGTCCCATCAACGACACAGCTTTCAAATAGCCTATATAGTGACAATGCCATGCAAATGTAAATATGTACATTTATGTAAAATAGATATTTGTTATATAATAGTATTTGTCGATAGAGTTATTTCCCTTTTACAATGTTATGTATGCAAGTATGTGAGGTATGTTTGGTTGCATTAAAGATTTATATGTTGTATTTGTTTTGTCAACAGGGTTTTTATAATGGATTAATAAATGCATCTATAGACTAAACCGGATCTGATTTGTGATTGTGAACGCTGGTAACATATATACCAGGTACAGATTTGTGATTGTGAACCCCGGTAACATATATACCAGGTACAGATTTGTGATTGTGAACCCCGGAAACGTATATACCAGGTACACCCTGTTTCGATTTACACTCTTTATTATACGACAGAAAAGTGAGAAAGTAAAATAGCACAAGACACACTTTAAGATTCCCTACCTCACTTCATGGTAGGGGCATGTGAACACAATAAACCAAACCTTACCACGGCCTCCTTCAGCTTCACCTCAGTTTCATCCAGTTTCAGCTGAGTGGCAGGATCAATTACTTTGACGACCTCTGCAACACAAACCAAACTTTAATTGGCGATTTGTGATAATGTAACATTTAAATGAAAACCAGTAAGCTAACACACCATTGTAAGTAAGAAACAAGAGGTCCAAGGGCCTTAGCGGTCACCTGAGTTGTATTATAGGTACTGGTAGCTCAATTTCATTGATGTGGAAATCAACATGTAAACTAAGTGAAATACAATACTTGTCATGTCATTAAAGGATAAGAATTTTAAAATATTGGTAAATGATCCCTTTGGGGCCCCGCCCTAGCCCCTGAAGATGGGGCAGGGATCCCAATTTTACAATGCTATAACCTCATTCACCAAAGAGGATTCTAACCAAGTTTGAATAATTGTCTGCTGAAAATGGATAAAATATACCGAAAAGTGTTATTTTCCCATAAAAACTATAATAATTTTTACCCCCTCCCCAAGGGAGAATGGATGGCCCTAGTTTTCTGAAATTTACAATTTCAATAAAGCCCCTGAAGATCTTTCCATCCATGCACAGCAATTGACTGTAGTACCTCCGAGTCTGGAAAAGATGATTTTTGAAATATTTGTTAAGTTTCCCTTTGGAGCCCCGCCCTGGCCCCTAGGGTTGAAGTAGGAATCCCAATTATATTATGAAGTTTCATGGAATTCCGTTGAGGAATGAAGTCACTAGAGCGATGACAATGAGTATAACCTATGTAAGAGCGGAATCCAATATCTCCTCAAACATTTGTTGCCAGGGGATAATTACTTGGGGAAAGGGAATTACAACAACCCTATATCCGACCTAAAATATCAGGTAATATACAATCAGGAATACCTAAGGATCTGGTTATTGAGCCATGCAAGTAAGAAAAGGCTTCAATTTAATGTGTAAGGGCAGAGTTTACAGTTTTACCAGGAGCAGCTGGTGGTTTCTTGGGTTTCTTGCCCGTAGATGAGGCCTCTACTTCCTGGGTAACGGTCACTGTTTTCTCCACAATCCTCGTTTCTATTTCTTTCTGCAGGGTTTTCATCTGGGACTCGTAACCCTGAATCTTTCTCATCAGGACCTTGTTCTTCTCCTCCAACTGGGCCTGTGAACATTTGGGGACAGCATCATCATAATCACTAGCTATAAGTAAACATGAAATAAACCGTGTTTGTTGAAAAAACCCACATTTGCACAAAAACTGTTCATTATTTTGAGAAACAGCCTAACCACAGTGCAAAGCATTTTTGATTAACTACCATTTTTAATTTAACAGTTCATAATATTTTTGATTAACTACCATTTTTAATTTAACAGTTCATAATATTTTTGATTAACTACCATTTTTAATTTAACAGTTCATAATATTTTTGATTAACTACCATTTTTAATTTAACAGTTCATAATATTTTTGATTAACTACCATTTTTAATTTAACAGTTCATAATATTTTTGATTAACTACCATTTTTAATTTAACAGTTCATAATATTTTTGATTAACTACCATTTTTAATTTAACAGTTCATAATATTTTTGATTAACTACCATTTTTAATTTAACAGTTCATAATATTTTTGATTAACTACCATTTTTAATTTAACAGTTCATAATATTTTTGATTAACTACCATTTTTAATTTAACAGTTCATAATATTTTTGATTAACTACCATTTTTAATTTAACAGTTCATAATATTTTTGATTAACTACCATTTTTAATTTAACAGTTCATAATATTTTTGATTAACTACCATTTTTAATTTAACAGTTCATAATATTTTTGATTAACTACCATTTTTAATTTAACAGTTCATAATATTTTTGATTAACTACCATTTTTAATTTAACAGTTCATAATATTTTTGATTAACTACCATTTTTAATTTAACAGTTCATAATATTTTTGATTAACTACCATTTTTAATTTAACAGTTCATAATATTTTTGATTAACTACCATTTTATAAATGTCAGACCATATTTTTCTCAGTAGCAACAATAACAAAGAGTTGACATGAACAATTTTTTTTTTTTTTATATATACATTACATGTCTTGTTTTTCATAGAAATTCATGTAATTTTACATTTTATTTACAAATATTTATACCAGGAAAGAAATACATCACAGACACATTGATGTATTCTGCTCAAGCTCAAAAAGCTCACAATAAGTCCTTACAAACCATATAAATCATCATATCCATTACCCAATTCTCCAGTTCGCAGACCATCATTACTAGTCTTCTGCCCAGTAATCCTGTTGGTTCATGAGCGTCACCATTATGTCACATGATGACGTAGCACATACGGACTTTAAGAATATGATATCAGTATTGATACTGATGTCACAATAACAAGTCGTCGTCAAATTTTTATTACAAACTCTTGGTACAAGGTTATCTTTTTGAAATCTTTTGATTATAAAGGTATGATTACCGGGAACATTGCCAAGCAAGATTGTTGCACTATCCATTACCCAATTCTCCAGTGCTCAGACCATCATTACTAGTCCTCTGTCCAGTAATATAAACCTGTCCTAACAAACCATATAAATCCTCGTATCCATTACCCAATTCTCCATTTCTCAGACCATCATTACTAGCCTTCTGTCCAGTAATATAATCCTGTCCTCACAAACCATATAAATCATCGTATCCATTTCCCAATTCTCCAGTTCTCAGACCATCATTTCTAGTCTTCTGTCCAGTAATATAATACTGTCCTAACAAACCATATAAATCATCGTATCCATTCCCCAATTCTCCAGTTCTCAGACCATAATTACTAGTCTTCTGTCCAGTAATACACTCCTGTCCTAACAAACCATATAAATCATAGTATCCATTACCCAATTCTCCAGTTCGCAGACCATCATTACTAGTCTTCTGTCGAGTAATATAATCCTGTCCTAACCAACCATATAAATCATCGTATCCATTTCCCAATTCTCCAGTTCTCAGACCATCATTTCTAGTCTTCTGTCCAGTAATACACTCCTGTCCTAACAAACCATATAAATCCTCGTATCCATTACCCAATTCTCCAGTGCTCAGACCATCATTACTAGTCCTCTGTCCAGTAATATAAACCTGTCCTAACAAACCATATAAATCCTCGTATCCATTACCCAATTCTCCATTTCTCAGACCATCATTACTAGTCCTCTGTCCAGTAATATAAACCTGTCCTAACAAACCATATAAATCCTCGTATCCATTACCCAATTCTCCAGTTCTGAGACCATCATTACTAGTCTTCTGTCCAGTAACATAATCCTGTCCTAACAAACCATATAAATCCTCGTATCCATTACCCAATTCTCCATTTCTCAGACCATCATTACTAGCCTTCTGTCCAGTAATATAATCCTGTCCTAACCAACCATATAAATCATCGTATCCATTCCCCAATTCTCCAGTTCTCAGACCATCATTTCTAGTCTTCTGTCCAGTAATATAATCCTGCCCTAACAAACCATATAAATCATCGTATCCATTCCCCAATTCTCCAGTTCTCAGACCATCATTACTAGTCTTCTGTCCAGTAATCCTGTTGGTTCATGAGCGTCACCATTATGTCACATGATGACGTAGCACATACGGACTTTGAGAATATGATATCAGTATTGATACTGATGTCACAATAACAAGTCGTCGTCAAATTTTTATTACAAACTCTTGGTACAAGGTTATCTTTTTGAAATCTTTTGATTATAAAGGTATGATTACCGGGTACATTGCCAAGCAAGATTGTTGCACCCTTTATTCTGAAACCCATCTTTGATTCAATTTCAACAAACATCACAGCGCCTCATCATAAACTATGATTATCCTATCAAGTCATTAAAACACTTGATTAATAATAATACAGTCAGTTTTTAGAAAATGATTTTTTTCAATAAAATATTTTGAAATTTGTACAATCACCACACAATAATTTTTGTCCTATGCTCTCACAATACAAATAATGTACATTATTTTAGACCTAACCACCCATATTGAGCCTCGGCGCCCCTCCCCCCTCCTACTCCCCCCTCCACCCCTACCCATATGTTCATATCTGAAACAGCAATGGATGTCTCCCTTTAATATCCCAGGTACACTCAGGCCACATTTTCAATATATTTATAGAAAGATTTTTTTAATTGAGCCATCATTGTGCTTTTTGCAGACAATATGGTTTGGTTCTATATTGTTTAATGTCCCATTAACAGCTAAGGTCATTTAAGGACATTTACAGACAATATATATTACCAGCAGGTTTTTCTTCTCCTCCACATCGACAGACATACGGCGTACAGCCTTTTTGACCTCGTCCATCTCCTTGACCTGTTTCTCAGCAGCCGCCTGGGCTTTTTTCATTTTCTGTGAAGGTTGAAACATGTTATAATATTCATTTTGATGATCACTTTAAGAAGGCAATATTTAAGAAAAATACATATAAACCCTATCCGAGTAAAATCTGGAAAGATTAGATTAAACAGGCCAGAATAAGATCAAACAGTATACACTGCAGCAGCTTCTTACTTAATCAATTTCATTATTAATATAAGTAGTGTAGGTAATTGGAAGCGGAAATCATAATCGATTATAGGAAGACTTTTAATGAGCGATTATGGATTATAATCGGAACACCCAAATTCTGGTAAACCTATCTGAAATATGTGTAATTATGAGGGTACGTATACCACTTAAAATTGGGATTTGCAGCATAATGTTGCCATGTAAAATCCCAGGCTGACTTGGTATATCTATTTGTCAGTCTTTTGTGCTTCATCACTATTGGCTTTAACCTTCTACTAGAAATTTGACCAAGAGTAAATCTGACAGATATCAACAGAAAACAACATACAACATTTAAACCGATGAATCGATTATGAAATTAATCAATCGGTTAATTTGAATTGGTTGTACAATCGATTGATTTATAATCGATGATCGGAACAACACTATATAAACAAGTTTGAACAGTTCTGCCGCCAACAGAGAGAATTTACATAGGCTTGCCCGTTATTTGATCTATTTGGCTGTTCAATCAATGTCAATAAAATTTATTGAAATAAATGAAAACATATAATTGTGAGAAAAAAAACTGATTTCCGAAACATATGGGAACAAGGTTACAGCGAGCGGTATATAATATGCCCGTCACACATTGAATGAGCAGTTGTTTTTATGATTGAAATATATGAAGTATTTGTGAGTAATTGATATTAAAGGAGAGATCATTCAACATAACTGGTAGATCAATGATTGCAATACAACATCATGGAACGCATGCATCGCATTAATGAAACCAAGGGTAAGAACTCCAGTAATTACAGTCGGATAATGGCGGTTATCAAACTTGTCCGAGCTTTGATGGTAATCAACCTTGTTGTGAAGTTTGAAGTTAATCCGTTAATAATTACTCGAGATATCGAGCGGACACTGTTTCGGCAAGTCCATAAAGGGGCATAACTCCACAAATTATGGTCGGATAATGGCGGTTATCGGACTTGTCCAATTTTTTATGGTAATTAACCTTGTTGTGAAGTTTGAAGTTAATCTGTAATAATTACTCGAGATATCGAGCGGACACTGTTTCGGCAAGTAAAGGGGCATAACTCCAGCATTATGGTCGGATAATGGCGGTTATCAAACTTGTCCAAGCTTTCATGGTAATTAACCTTGTTGTGAAGTTTGAAGTTAATCTGTAATAATTACTCGAGATATCGAGCGGACACTGTTTCGGCAAGTAAAGGGGCATAACTCCAGAATTATGGTCGGATAATGGCGGTTATCAAACTTGTCCGAGCTTTGATGGTAATTAACCTTGTTGTGAAGTTTGAAGTTAATCCGTTAATAATTACTCGAGATATCGAGCGGACATCGTTTGCCCGCCCACCCGCCCGCCCGCCCGCCCGCTCACGTGATAACATAATACATCCCCGTCTTCGACGGGCGTATAAAAAGTTATGAGAGAAACCAATATGTTATATCAGCAACATCCCCTCCCCTCCTTTAGATGTATACTGTTAATTATGATGCAAGCCGCCCAATGGGCCTGAATCACTCACTTGTTATTCATCTCACATATATGTGACATTAAAAGGAAGTCAAGGTTAAATTTGAATAGGCTGAATATCTTTTATCTGCACATCAGGGATCTTCATTGGATTATTTTATTTCCTCACACATTAAGTATCTAATTTGTTCAAATATTTTAATAATTTTACTCATGCAACCTTCAAAGTTGATCTAGGTCTTTCATTTGTATCTAAAACGTTTTAAGCCTTCACTTCAGCAGCTTCAGGGCAAATATCATGACCTTAGGCCTTTTGGTTAAAAGAAGAAGTTGTTTAAGGTTGTAACCAATTTGGCCCCACGTTGATCAATCCTTTGAATAGAGTTGATAGCCCTACATCTTTGCATGCTACAGGCAAAGTCATTACCCTAGGCCTCTAAGTTTAGGAAAAATAGCTTGAAGAAAAAAGTTGACGATTGATGGTTTAATAGATAACAGACACTGTGCCATATGGCAAAAGCTCAAATGCCTTTTGGGCAGGTGAGCTAATAAATATAAGTTACCCGGTACATAGTTAATACATTCATTGAAATGTCTAACCTGGTATTCCTGAAATCAAATTTTTATTTAAATGACCCTTTACACAGTCAAAGAAAATTGATCAACTAATTCCCCCATGAAGACACATTTGAACCCTTCCAATTCAAAAGTTTGGAAAAGTTCATTATGAAATTTCAGGAGTGAACAGGTTAAGTAGGAGTTAGATACTAAATATATTAGTGTTGCTAAGTTACCGTTTTCAGTTCCTCAACAGTCTTGCGTTTTTCTTTGAGCTCCTGTTCTTTCTTCGTCATGGCGAGAGACAGGTTCCTGAACTGTTTAGAACACTTTCCATACACTGTAAGTAACCGGTTCATGATACGTTTTAGACAAACTGTTTTATCGAATCGAGTGGCAGCCAGATTTACAGGATCAGTGTTAGTTTTTGTTATGGTTACCAGTTCTGACAGGGGACATGTGTCAAAACTGTTAACTATTTTGTGAAGTTTTATCATAATTTGAAATTTTTAATATGATGTTAGGCCTGTCAGATCAATTTCACATAAAACTTTCGATTCATGTCTTGAACTTTTTCTTTTTGAAATAATGAAAATACGGTGCAAGTTATTTCAAATAGTTCTATTATAAAGTGACAAAAAATGTTGTTTGAAAACAATTCTAAATTTATCAATAACTTTAAAAGCAAGTAATATACAGTATAGTAACTTTGTATAAATTTCATTCTAAGCTTAGAAATCTTCCCCAGGATATTGGGTGTTGACTTACAGTGCTTGTGACTAGAATTCTTTGTCCACTTGACTGCATCATTGAGTGTCTGCAGCACCATCTTGACTGCATTGTCCCACTTGACCGGGTCAGAAAGGAGAGCTCGCTCTGAAACATCAGAGAATTGTTTCTCATAAAGGATTTTCCCTTCATTGAACTTTTATCAACATTAAAAAAGAAAAATTAAAAGGCTGCAAAAAAACGTCAGAATTCATTTTTTTTTTTTTTTAAATTTCATACAGACTTAATTTCATGTGGGATAAGCGATTTATCTTCTCAAACTTTACCCTGCAACTGAATGTTCATTAAACAAATTCTGTCATCAGAGAACTAGTTATTTATCATTACATAAGGACCTTTAATGTGGTTACACCTGTACCTGTTCTCTATACATCAGTAATCTCAATGTTCATAGGTACCTGTACATGAGAACAGTTGACAGGCATTACTTACCATCAATCTCTGTACCAGCCAAGCCTTCTTCACTTTGAGGAAAACTTTCAAAATTTTGACTTTTAAAGTAGACTTTTGATATTTACAGAACGCCTTACATTTTGAATGTGCTCAAAATTAAGTAATTTATTTCATGGATCAGCTTAAACAGTGACAGTAAATTACAAAATATTACAACAATTTTTTGGGTAATGATAAACAATTTTACTAAAAATGTACAAGCCATTCGGATTGATATGTCTCATCTATGTCCTGCTTTGACCAACAATACACATATCAGAGAAACTGTAACTTAAACGCAAAAACTTAATGTTGATATAGATGCTGACAAAGTCAATGGACCATGAAAGGTAGCTAGGCCGCATCCAGCATTTGATGCATGAGTTGAGATGTACAACTAAGATGCCTCTATGGTCCAAGTTTGTAGTTGGTGTAGCACTTATACTTTCAGAGAAACAAACTTAAACGCAAAAACTTAATGTTGACGCCGTCGCTGAAAAAAAAAAAGTCTCGCTTCCACTTCGTTGCTGCGAGCCAAAAATCACAAAATATTTTGTCAAATTATGGAGGTCATAATGAATTTCTTTTCAGACAATTTCAGATTTTTACATAGCTAAAAATATCTGAGATGATGATATCTCTGTTGTATTTTGAATCCTTAGATTAATTGCTTACCATCATACACAATGTTGAAGTCAGATGGTTTTCCTTGCATCTTTTTCGCTTGCAGTTCATTTCTGTAATGAAATATTTTGTGAAAATGCTGATGAATTGAGCAACTTAATAAGTCATCATTTCAGCAAAACACAGTATAAATCAGGAGTTAATATCCCCATGTTGTTACATTTGAGCAGGAGCAGGCTTCTTAAAATCACACATTTTCACATACATGTATATAGGATGATAACTTTCTCACAGTTATAACTTTCTGAACCTATGTTTCACTGTCTGTAACATAAACAAGAGAAACTGTTAGCAAGCTTACAAAGACATATACCGTAGCTGAAACACAAATTCCATAAGATGTACTTTCAATTTATAAAAAAATCCAACACATGTTTGAGGAGGAGTTAGGCTTACAACGATAATACACAGTCGGACAGACGGAGGGACAGTGTGATTCCTACATACTCCCCAAACTGTGATTGCAGGCCATGCAGGGGGTATAAATAAAGATTGCAGGCCATGCGTGGGGGTATAAATAAAGATTGCAGGCCATGCGTGGGGGTATAAATAAAGATTGCAGGCCATGCGTGGGGGTATAAATAAAGATTGCAGGCCATGCGGCGGGTATAAATAAAAATTGCAGGCCATGCAGGGGGTATAAATAAAGATTGCAGGTCATGCGGGGGGTATAAATAAATATGGCAGGCCATGCAGGGGGTATAAATAAATATTGCAGGCCATGCAGGGGGTATAAATAAATATCGCAGGCCATGCGGGGGGTATAAATAAAGATTTCAGGCCATGCAGGGGGTATAAATAAAGATTGCCGGCCATGCGGGGGGGTATAAATAAAGATTGCAGGCCATGCGTGGGGGTATAAATAAAGATTGCAGGCCATGCGTGGGGGTATAAATAAAGATTGCAGGCCATGCGTGGGGGTATAAATAAAGATTGCAGGCCATGCGGGGTGTATAAATAAATATTGCAGGCCATGCAGGGGGTATAAATAAAGATCGCAGGCCATGCGGGGGGTATAAATAAAGATTTCAGGCCATGCAGGGGGTATAAATAAAGATTGCAGGCGATGCGGGGGGCATAAATAAAGATTGCAGGCCATGCGGGGGGAATAAATAAAGATTGCAGGCCATGCGGGGGTATAAATAAAGATTGCAGGCCATGCGGGGGTATAAATAAAGATTGCAGGCCATGCAGGGGGGTATAAAGATTGCAGGCCATGCCGGGGGTATAAATAAAGATTGCAGGCCATGCGGTGGGTATAAATAAAGATTGCAGGCCATGCAGGGGGTATAAATAGAGATTGCAGGCCATGCGGGGGGTATAAATAAATATTGCAGGCCATGCAGGGGGTATAAATAAATATTGCCGGCCATGCAGGGGGTATAAATAAAGATTGCAGGTCATGCGGGGGGTATAAATAAATATGGCAGGCCATGCAGGGGGTATAAATAAATATTGCCGGCCATGCAGGGGGTATAAATAAAGATTGCAGGCGATGCGGGGGGCATAAATAAAGATTGCAGGCCATGCGGGGGGAATAAATAAAGATTGCAGGCCATGCAGGGGGGATAAATAAAGATTGCAGGCCATGCGGGGGGGTATAAATAAAGATTGCAGGCCATGCAGGGGGAATAAATAAAGATTGCAGGCCATGCGGGGGTATAAATAAAGATTGCAGGCCATGCAGGGGTGTATAAAGATTGCAGGCCATGCCGGGGGTATAAATAAAGATTGCAGGCCATGCAGGGGGAATAAATAAAGATTGCAGGCCATGCGGGGGGTATAAATAAAGATTGCAGGCCATGCAGGGGTATAAATAAACAAGTTCTATGAGGTTCTAGATAACAGTATAGTAAGATTAGTTATGTGATGTCAAAAAGATAACTTGATTCCCTTCAGATCTGGTGAGCATAACTAACACCTCAAGTCAACGCGTTGCATAGCAATGTTTGTTGTAGATCTTGACTTCCATATCTTTATAAATTTCTCAAATTTCTCTCTGCAAAAATTCAGTGATTTCAAAATACAGGTAAACCTTTTCCCCCTAATGTGAATTTTCCCCATGTTCTTGAAACTTTTCAAACAATGATAAACAAGACAACTTGACTTCATATACAGATTGAGGAAAAAGTGATTCTTTGTATATAAAATCTATTGTTGTATTGACTACGTGGATTTTCTCTAGGTACTCCAGTTTCCTCGAACATTAAGACCCCCAGTGCGCTAACACCAGGGCCAACAAGAGTGATTGATATAAGTTGTAATATTTTTTTTCATAATTGTTGTAAAATAAATACAGTTTATATTTTCAATATGGTCAGATCATGGACAAATGACATAAATTTACACTGCAATAAACAAGATAAGATAAGTTTATTTTTGGTACATGTTCAATTTTGATTCTCTACACCAGACTACAAATTAGTACATATTCATATTAAATTACAAATGGGTCAAAAAGGAATTTTTACAGTGTAAACTATATGATGTTGTCAAATTTTCGGAGCAATGCGCTCCTTTATCGAGATACAGAAAAAACCCACAAAACAATTACATTACATTGAGCGGATTGCTCCGAAAATTTGACAACATCATATTGTCTACACTGTAAGATTTAATTCCTTGCCCATTATAAAATTCTAAGTATAAATTTGTATTATACAAACACATACGTTTGCAAGGATCCAGTGTTATTCGTGAAGCTACCGTTAACTTTACTTCTTTGACCCATATCAAATTACAAAATTATACAAAACAAGGCACAAGCTTAATCACAACCCTTCAGGTGGTATAGACATTACATACTCCTTGATGATGTTGCTGGCCTCCTTCAGAAGCTGACCACCATACTTGACCACTTGATCATTGGTTTCGCGAATCTGTTTTATTGCATCCCTGAAAGGAAAAACAATTCTAAATGAATCATTAAAATCATTATAATTCTAGCTGATGATTTCAATGTAATCAGGATATTCCAGACATATCGGTACCAAGAGGAGGGATTATCCAATGAGAACACAGTTTGGTAAAGTACGGAAGGAAGTTAGTTGGAGAAAGAGCCCGGATAACAACACATAGTCCCAATATAGCAGCGGTAACACATACTTTGAACACACACACACGTCGGTAGATATATTCTATAACGTTATTATAACCATTTCATTCAAGCTTTCACCAATATACTATCCCACACACAATCATTTGCACTCCTTATCATCGGCAACTACCTGGCCAGGTTTCGACGTACTCTCAACTTTCACATATATACAGCTTTGAATTTGTCTAGGGTTATTTTGGCATTTTCATCCGGAAGGTGAACAAAATGGTGGTCAGTGATATTTTAGGACAGTGGAACATTTAACATTTTATTGTGCTCTTATTCCTATTCTGTCTTTGCGTATTGCAGAGTTATCTTCTCTTGTGAGCAGGTATTGATTGTTACCTCATTGGTTTGTGTGAGAAACTTACGTCGTTTTCTCAAAAATTACTCTCACAAAAAAATGACGCAACAAACAATACCTGCTAACAAGAGAAGATAACTCTGCAATACGCAAAGACGGAATAGAAGTCTTGTGGTATTTGTTATTTTGACGTTGAAATTCTGCAGGTGAAGTATTTCAAGACAATGAAACATTTTAATGTCTGCGTAATGATATATATGTAAAAGATGTGCATTGATTAGGTTGCCTTACAAGCATCAGCTGTAGAGAATTTCCCTTTAACTTAGCAGTAGAGCATCGGGCTGGAGAGCCAAGGGTCACAGGTTCAAGCCCAAGCGATGACATAATCTTTATCACTAGTCCTATTACATATATCTGTACGAAATACAAGAAGCTTTATCTTAAACTGATTATCATTATTATGCTTATTATATAACGGCCCATCAGCACAGGACAGGTGGTTAGGATAGCATAGCATATTAAGCTTGCAGGAGCTTGTATTTTGATAAATGTAATCTTTTCAGAACTACACTTACAAGACATTTTCGTGGATTTCCTCATATTCCACCAGAGCGTTTTCCATTTCTTCATACGGTATCATACCATCAGCCTAAGTATAAAAACACAAATTTAAACCGAACAATAATACCGAAGAGATTACCTATTACTGTAAACAGAAGAGATTACCAATTACTGTAAACAGACTTTTTTTAGCACACTCAAATTTTAGTGCATCAGATTTTAACAGTTTAGTGCATTGATGAATTGGTGCACCCACAAAATATGTAATAGCTAACAACATACATGAACTTCAATTGGTGCATTAATAATTTAGGACAATATCCAAAGTAATAAAGCGCTAAAATAAGACTACCGCTAAAATGTGTACGCCTAAAATTTGTATTGTCATACAATTTTATGTGAAGGTCATTTAATCTATTTTGACAAAAAACTCCTTTTCAAGAAATTGCATATATATATATGTTAATATTTACATTTGATCTGCATCCTCCATTGCAATGCATTTAGAAGGCAAATGATGTTATGAGACTATAACAACATTTGTTACTGTAACGTCATCAATCTCTATTGTGAGGTCAATTTCATTGCTGTCAACACTTAATTTGCTGTTCAAAGAACTGTTCGAAATAACTAAATAAAGCATAACTACTCTATCAAAACATAAATATGTATAATGAATATAATCGTAAATATTGTTATGGTCCTATAACACACATAACTGAGTTCTATTATGATAAAATTCTTTTTTAAACTATACAGGTTTTATCTTTAAACATGGAAAGACAACTAAGAGTGAACGATATAAGTTGGAAAACTTGTGCCATAATTAAATATTGTTACAAGATAAATAAACTTGTCATAATTAAATATTGTTACAAGATAAATAAAGTGTAAATCTACAACTAACACAACTAAAGGAATACTGGATGGATATTGGATTCAATGATGGAAATTTGACAAAGATGACCACACCACTTCACAGTTGTAAAATTATTGGGAAGATGACTACACAAATTTTAAATCTTAAATGCTTAATGGCCCATCAACACAGAATAGGTCATCAGGGCCAACAAATATACAATGTATATACTGAAAGTTTGTATCACTTGCCATACACCATATTATTATTAATCAATCAATCAATTAGAGATTCCCAATTTGAAAATGGATATTAAATCTCATTGTTCTTAGACATAAACACCAGCCTTACCAGACTGGTGGGATCAGAGATCCAGTTTTTATCCCATTACTCCTAGTTATAAATACCAGCCTTGCCAGACTGGTGGGATCAGATATCCAGTCGTTATTTCATTGTTCTTAGTTATAAATTCCAGCCTTAGCAGACTGGTGGGATCAGAGAGTCTGGCGTTATCTCATTGCTCTTAGTTATAAATTCCAGCCTTAGCAGACTGGTGGGATCAGATATCCAGTCGTTATTTCATTGTTCTTAGTTATAAATCCCAGCCTTACCAGACTGGAGGGATCAGAGATCCAGTCGGTATCTCATTGGTCTAAGTCATAAATACCAGCCTTGCCAGACTGGTGGGATCAGAGAGTCTGGCGTTATCTCATTGCTCTTAGTCATAAATACCAGCCTTGCCAGACTGGTGGGATCAGAGACCCAGTCGTTATCTCATTGTTCGTAGTCATAAATACCAGCCTTGCCAGACTGGTGGGATCAGATATCCAGTCGTTATTTCATTGTTCTTAGTTATAAATACCAGCCTTAGCAGACTGGTGGGATCAGAGATACAGTCGTTATCTCATTGTTCTTACTCATAAATACCAGCCTTACCAGAATGGTGGGATCAGAGATCCAGGCGTTATCTCATTGTTCTAAGTGAAAAATACCAGCCTTACCAGACTGGAGGGATCAGAGATCCAGTCGTCATCTCATTGCTCTTAGTCATAAATACCAGCCTTGCCAGACTGGTGGGATCAGATATCCAGTCGTTATCTCATTATTCTTAGTTATAAATACCATCCTTAGCAGACTGGTGGGATCAGATATCCAGTCGTTATTTCATTGTTCTTAGTTATAAATTCCAGCCTTACCAGACTGGAGGGTTCAGAGATCCAGTCGTTATTTCATTGTTCTTAGTTATAAATACCATCCTTAGCAGACTGGTGGGATCAGAGACCCAGTCGTTATCTCATTGTTTTAAGTCATAAATACCAGCCTTGCCAGACTGGTGGGATCAGATATCCAGTCGTTATCTCATTATTCTTAGTTATAAATACCAGCCTTGCCAGACTGGTGGGATCAGAGAACCAGTCGTTATCTCATTGTTTTAAGTCATAAATACCAGCCTTACCAGACTGGGGGGATCAGAGATCCAGTCGTTCTCTCATTGCTCTTAGTTATAAATTCCAGCCTTACCAGACTGGTGAGATCAGAGATCCAGTCGTTATCTCATTGTTCTTAGTCATAAATACCAGCCTTACCAGACTGGAGGGATCAGAGATCCAGTCGTTGACTTCACTGATGATTTGGTATCTATGGTTACATTCACTGGCGTAGCGACTGGTTCCTTCTGTAATTTGTGACCGTCTTCTCTCCTGTAAGGTCAAAAGGTCAAGCATTGAACTAGATATCAAATAAGTTGGTGTAACAATGTACAGAACAGACATAGTGAATCTGAACAAATGGTGAAGCACTTCACTTTTTGGCTTAATATATCAATAGAAAAATATATTATCTTGTCCAATCCTTATAATTTCATTTCAAAACTAGAATGGAAAAATGTCTATAGCACAAAAATGTTTCTGATTTATTTACAAAAGCAATAGTATATTTTATGAATGACTTAATGATTTTACTGTTGATCAATATCTTGTGCTGTGACCTGTCAGACTAGTTGAACCTTAGCTTTGACAGGTTGTTCTCTCTCAAACAATGATGCTACTATATATCTAAGACCGGTCACTGGGAATATTTACATATCATCTAAATTAAAGTATATCATGCTCATCAAAAGTTCTTCTTACTTTTTCGGTCTATCCGTAAAATTGTACAAAACAAGTATTTCATTTAATATAACTTTAAACTTTCTTTTCTGTTAAAGTATATTCAAAAGCATCCCACTAAATGAGGTATCTTTCACCTCTGTAAATAATCACAGTATTGGTACCCGCTGTACTGATGACGGATTTGGCCGATACCCATCGAGTGAGTAAATCTCCCCCTGTTTTACCTGTACTATATTTACCTGCATTGTGTCGTCACGCTTGTCAATCTAAACTTCCTACTTACCAGAAAAAATTATAGGGTTTTAAAATATTGATTCAACGAAATATAACCACAACAAATTTGTCCCCATACAAAAACAACAAAATTTAACCCCAACGAAAATATCAGCTTTTATGTTGGCTACATACAGCTACGTATTACATGCAGTTTTGTAAACGTACCTCTTCTCTCTTGACCATTGCTGGGACGATGGACGGGAACTTTGTGCTTCCCTGAAAGAAATGTCAGGTATAATTTACATTAATTAAAGTGGTGGAGCTCTTGAATATCAAAGATGGCCTTGCGTTTGTTATGTCATATAATTTTAACATTTGGGAAAACAAGCTGATGAAGCGGAGATGTTTAAATTGTATGAGAACAATCCTTTTAAACTGGTAATGGTAACGTCAGTTTCATCACAATGCTACCAAGGGTTTCTTATAAGTAGTAGTAAAAATATGAACATTTAAGGATGATGAACATCACCCCCGGTACAGGTCCAGTACACTCTGCCGACTGAGCTATATATAGCTACACTGTATAAAGACCTATATAGCTATATTCACCTATAATAATGGTAATGTTGACTACAAAAAGCTTATTTAGATGTTTATTTTCATTTTTCATAAATGTAAAATTTCCGATTTTTTTACATCATTATTTTTTTTAAAAGAATCCTTATATTTAATGTCTTTTGTTATCAACCTAATGATAAAACCTTCTTTTAAAAGCGACTTTATTTTGTTTTCCTTAAAAAAAAAATCACATGAAAATAGCTCAAAAGACCTATTTCAGATACATTGTAGGTCAATAGAGCTATTATAGGTCTTTACAGCTATATAGCTCAATTGGCAGAGTGTACTGGACCCCCAGTATAAGCCTGGCATGCCGTTTGGGCAGATAAATTGTTTAAGTAAACCTACCTCTTCCTCCTCGTCACAAGAATCTACATGCATGTCCACGTTTTTCAATGCCTTTTTGAAAAAGAAAACATATACACATAGGTTTATTTCAGTTTCAGTATAACCCGTACTCACATGCCTCAGTTCAAATTAACATTCCTTATTATGTTTTGAAATACAGTTTTCACTCGATTTCTCTTACAACCACTGGTTTCCATCACTCGATTTCTCTTACAACCACTGATTTCCATCACTTGATTTCTCTTACAACCACTGGTTTCCATCACTTGATTTCTCTTACAACCACTGGTTTCCATCACTCGATTTAACTTACAACCACTGGTTTCCATCACTCAATTTCTCTTACAACCACTGATTTCCATCACTTGGTTTCGCTTACAACCACTGGTTTCCATCACTCGATTTTGCTTACAAACACTGGTTTCCATCACTTGATTTCTCTTACAAACACTGGTTTCCATCCCTCGATTTCTCTTACAACCACTGGTTTCCATCGCTTGATTTCTCTTACAAACACTGGTTTCCATCACTCTATTTCTCTTACAAACACTGGTTTCCATCCCTCGATTTCTCTTACAACCACTGGTTTCCATCCCTCGATTTCTCTTACAAACACTGGTTTCCATCCCTCGATTTCCCTTACAACCACTGGTTTCCATCACTCGATTTCGCTTACAACCACTGGTTTCCATCACTCAATTTCTCTTACAACCACTGATTTCCATCACTTGATTTCTCTTACAAACACTGGTTTCCATCACTTGATTTCTCTTACAACCACTGGTTTCCATCACTCGATTTCTCTTACAACCACTGGTTTCCATCTTTCAATTTCTCTTTCAACCACTGGTTTCCATCACTCGATTTCTCTTACAACCAAAAAGCTGGTTTCCAACCTCCCAAGTCATTGGTTACACTTGCTAGAAGTTGGTAAATGTTTCTGGCTACCCACTAGTGGGTTAGTATAACACCCCATAGACGTTATTTCATTGGTCAATCTGCTAGTGATGATGCCAAGTAACAATGCTTTGCAATGAAATCTTGTGACATTATAGTTCATGGCAATGGTTTCATCAATCGGGAACAGGAATCCTGTATTTCAAGAAAAACATGTTTTCTAGATATATAATATCCAGTGATAAAGCTACAGGAGTCCCGAGTCCTAAACTCATAGAATTTTGATTGGACTCAAAGAATTTCAGGAAATACTGAAATTTAACATTGTGGGACCCATTGTTTTTAGTGTTACAGTTGAAAAGGACCTATGACAATAAATTGTAGATTGATCACAATAATATCTGACCGCTGTGGGAGAAAATTAAAAGGTCCAAAAACTCTTGATGGTTAATCAACATGTCTTATCAATACAATTTGAAAATTAACTGACTCGAGTTAGATAAACATGATTAGCGGCCATCATTCGATTGGGAACCTTTATTTACACTCTATATATATAGATCCATATCTGTATACGTACATGTATAAAGTCATCTGTAACACATTTATTTACACTCTATATATATAGATCTATATCTGTATACGTACATGTATTAAGTCATCTGTAACACATTTATTTACACTCTATATATATAGATCCATATCTGTATACGTACATGTATAAAGTCATCTGTAACACATTTATTTACACTCTATATACATATAGATCTATATCTGTATACGTACATGTATAAAGTCATCTATAACACATTTATTTACACTCTATATATATAGATCCATATCTGTATACGTACATGTATAAAGTCATCTGTAACACATTTATTTACACTCTATATATATAGATCTATATCTGTATACGTACATGTATAAACTCATCTGTAACACATTTATTTACACTCTATATACATATAGATCTATATCTGTATACGTACATGTATAAAGTCATCTGTAACACATTTATTTACACTCTATATATATAGATCTATATCTGTATACTTACATGTATAAACTCATCTGTAACACATTTATTTACACTCTATATATATATAGATCTATATCTGTATACGTACATGTATAAAGTCATCGGTAACACATTTATTTACACTCTGTATATATAGATCTATATCTGCATACTTACATGTATAAACTCATCGGTAACACATTTATTTACACTCTATATATATTGATCTATATTTGTATACGTACATGTATAAAGTCAGCTGTAACACATTTATTTACTCTCTATATATATAGATCTATTTCTGTATACGTACATGTATTATGTCATCTGTAACACATTTATTTACTCTCTATATATATAGATCTATATCTGTATACGTACATGTATAAAGTCATCTGTAACACATTTATTTCCAGTTAACTCATTCATCCCTACATATTTGTTTACAAATGTTTATACATGCAGCTCCATCAACAAATTATTTTCTCTTCATAATATGTATATATTTATATCTTTTCGGTATCAAAATAAAAGGTTAGAATCTAAACAATTAGATTCAATTATAATAAAAATGGACATTAGTAGTTGTTTCCCCTAATTTTATTATTGATTTGATAATACCAACTTTATATGTGTTCTAATGTCTATGTCTATGCTTGTACCACTGTTTGTTACTGTGTTGGGAGAGGGCTTAAATAGGCTATGCCTGCTGCCCAATCCATTTGTCTTTTGACAATAAAATTTATTGAAATTGAAATTGAAATCCCTACATATTTAAACTGGACTTACCTTTTCTTTGATTTGGTCAATTTCACGTCACATAACCTAGCGGTATATGGGTTAATAGTCTATCAGTATCAACAATAGTTTATAGAACTTTATTCTTTATGTCTCAGAGTTCACAATCTTATCTAATTAGGACTGAACATCCTTGTAAGATGTACACATTAATTTATGAAAACTCATACATTTAAATGTATTGATGATGATTATATAATTAATTTATATCTATATATAGCATCTAATGCATTTTTTCGCAATCCTACAACTTCTGAATCTATAATCTCGAGAAGGAAGAGCTCACCTGGTATACTCGTTTCTTGATAGATTTGACCTGATCACGGATATTTTTTTTCTTGCGTTTTTTCTTCAGCACCTCCAGGCTGTATAGGACGTTGACAACTTTAGGAGCATACAGACTGCTCTGGGTTTTCCTTATGGGAACTTTAGCTAAGGAGAATTCATCTTCATCCGAGTCGGACACTGTTGTACTCGAACGTTGGGACTGATCCGAGTCGGAACCATATACATGTCTTCTCTCCCATGTGTCATCCTCGCTTTTATCCCACATGCGTGATGCCCGATGTACGTTCCCAAATAGCTGGGTGAGTGCGTCGGGAGGAGATGACTGCAACAGATGTGGTGAGACAGGGGAGGTAGAGGAAAAGCCTGGTGAATATTGGCTTAGATCTGCGTATGATTGTATAAAGTCCTCCATCCTGTTTTTCCGTTGCTGCGGTAAAGTGGATGCTGATCTACATAGTGTCGGTGAAGGTGTCCTTTTCACCTTGATTTCCTCAGTCTGAACCATCGTGGGTTTTTCTACTAGAGTTGGTGTCATTCTAGTGGTACTCGTGGCCTTTTTCTCCCGCTGTTTTGGTTTGGATACTTTGTGAGTCACGGGTTCACTGAATCGTCGCCTTTTACTGGTGGCGTTTGGTTTCCTACGTTTCTTTTTCTTGTTAGACTTTTGCCCTTTGCTCATGTCTGTATCCACAGAGGTAGCAGTACTAAGCTCGGAGGCAGAAGTGCCGTGGGTTTCCCTGCTTCTAACCGCTTGTAAGTAATTTGAGCTTTTCTTTTCCACAATTTCCACATTTCTGGTTTTCTCTGGAATGGCCTGCTCTATGTGTCGAGCTACCTTGGTATCAGAGTCTGGTGTTACAATCACTACTGGAGAAGCTATTTTCTCAGATACCAACACCTCCTCTTCTTCTTGTCTATCCTCTCCATTTTTCTGCTCATAAAAATCAAAGAAACAAAAAAATCAAATCTTTGATTTTCCCTGATTGACAAAAGGGGCTTTCACCGGGAAAAAAGCCCTGAACTTTTGCACTCTGTGATCCCTTACGGCCCCACCCCAAGCCCCCTAGGGGGTCATCCACTTATTGAGTATAGCTTCTGATCCCCATCACTGGCAGATTACCCCAAAGTTTTATCAAAATCTGATGATTGGCTTCTTAGGAGAATTAGAAATTTATATATGTTTGCTTTAATATGGACAACGATTGACAGCAGATGGAATATATGTATGCTGTCAAACTTTCGCTGCTGTTTAATTTTTGCCTTTTTTTTCGCCCCTCCATTATGAGGGCCAATTTATGATTACAGCGAATATTAGTAAACAGTATAATAAACGTGGTAATTAAATGTGAAGGGCGAAATTAACACGGGGCGAAAATTGATTTCATGGGCGAAGGGCGAAAGTTTCCCTGTACACAGTATGCTACTGCAATACACTGTCACCTTATCTCAGAAAACTGAAGTCTTTCAAAGGCTGGTCATACATTTTACCTGGACTACAGATTTTGGGTCCAAACTACACAGCATTGTTTACAGTAAACCTATTATCAGTGCCTGCTTGTTGATTTGAAATTTTCCGGATCAACATTTTCACTGTCTTTGTTTCTATATTTCAGACAATATTCAATTCAAATATCAGTACTTCAGCTTTTTTTAGCATTTAAAATTTGCATAACAATTTTGTTAAGTTAACCAGACTTAGAAGTTGATTGTTTTTCTTTTGGCTTAGTGACATCCTGATACTAAACTGTCCATTTACTTCACACGCTCATATATACTTGCGAACTTTTTTTAAAATTTCCATGGGGAGATTATGCATGATCAGTTTGGTTTGTTTGTGTTTTACGTCCTATCAACAGCTATGGTCATTTAAGGACGTGCCAGGTTTTGGTGGTGGAGGAAAGCCGGAGTTCCCAGAGAAAAACCACCAACCTATGGTCAGTACCTGGTGACTGCCCCATGTACGTAAGTCTTGAACCCGCGACCCAGTGGTGGACGGCTAGTGGTAGCAGAATGAGGCCTTAATTATAACCACTTGTCCACTGTGGCCCCTCGCGTGGTCAGAATTAAATCATAAATAAAATGTGTGTTAATGTACACCCTAGGAACAAAATAGCGGTACAACAGTTTTTAAAAGTTTTAAATGGCATCTTTTGAGCTGTTCTTTTGAATGAAATCATCAGATCTTAGCAAATAGAAATAGTTAAGCAAATTTACTGGTTGAAAATGCTTAATTTTAGGGGTCCAAAGTTACAGTATGTTTTACCATAGACTGATAAGACCTAAGTTACAGTATGTTTTACCATAGACTGATAAGACCTACCAGTAAACTACCATTGGTGCTGTACATATACAAACCTGATGGCTCATATCAGATGGACAGGAGGATGGATCAGGTTCAGTCTTCTCTTCAATAGCAGTCAATGACACTCCAGAAAAGTGAACTGACCTCACCCCCTCCAGAGATTTTCTCCCTACAATCAAAAGGTATCCGAAGATAAGAATCATTGTACTTTGCCATTAATGCACTCAACTTCAATCTTCCTGCAGAATATATATATATATATGCAAGTAGTTATTTTTAAAAATATTTTCTGTCAGCAGCATATATATGAGAAATAACTTTAATTAATGTAAATTTCACAAAAAAAATAATATGCCAGTATATGTCATTTATGTATGGCAGATTTTAATAATACATAGGATGACAGTTGCCTTCTAGCTTCGTGCTCGAGGGAATTTTCCCTTTAGGTCAGTGAACTGAGACCACAGACTTGGATAATCCAGATTTAGAATTAGATTAGAAGTCGGTGGATAATCGTATAATCTCGCATTGCAGACTATAATTTCAATGAATAAATCTAATTATCTGGATAATAAGTGAAAAGTTTCTCTGAAATTTCTTTCACAGGAGTCTGACGTATAATCAATATAAGTATAACAGTCTGTATATATATATATAAAAAAAAAACACTATACAGGGTATTATTTCTTATATATACAGACTGTTATTCTTAGATTGCTTAAACGTCAGACTCCTGTATTTATATAGATGCAAAGAAAGATGTTGCATGTTGCCACTGATGAAAACTAATGTTTAGTTCTGTCTTTAATTATTCGAAGAAATGCAAAAGCTCTAAATGGTTCAATCTACATTTTCTCATAATTTGAAGAACAATCGAAGCTGTCTTTTAATTAAGTTGATGGAATACAAATATTGAAATAACATTAAATAATATAACCTATCTGGATCCGCCTGATATGATGAGGCTAAACTCGAAGACCTGCTGGTATATATATATGCCAAGCGTATTGACAGGTTTCTAGCAAAGAAAAAATATCAAAATTTGTAAACAAAATGAGACCAGCCTATACTATAGCTATAAAGTAAGCGGTCACCTTTAAAAGAAATTTGATGGCAATGAAATCATCTTTAGAGTAGGCTAAGATGCAAATGTAGGTCATTTGAGTGAGATTGTTGACATTCTGGTAGACGTTTAAGTGTCAGTGTGTCAGATCAAAGACCACTCAGTGCAATCAAATACCGTGACCACAAAATCCGGCGGGAAATTTCGACATGTGCGTCTAATTCGCCATAGATAGACCATCGAAATGCCTTAGTTTACCTTTTAGAATGGACATAGCAAGTTCTACATCGCAGTTTCCTTTGTTAAATAAGATCGTTATATCAGTATTCAGACGAGAATGCACTTTCCCATCGTAAGCTGCGGAGTTGTCAACAAAACAAACTAAACACGTGGTTAAACAATAGGCATAAAATATAGTCACCTTTGACCTCAAAGGTAGAGTCGATTTTAATATCGGGGTGTAAACGATTAGGGCATTTCCATTTAACATGCTGTTTTCCAGTAAAATATTTTTGAAAAATGATACGATATCGGAACAAATATATTCCATGTTCATAAATTTTCTGACATATATCAAATAGTAGTTTTCAAAGTCAGTCTGTATCCGATAGACCGTTTACAATAGACCAGTCCGTCCATTTTAGGAAATAAAACGGGATCGGTCGCGGAACAATGACGTCACAGTTGTTGGCACAGATTCAGCTTCTTTGTCGCGCAGTGATATAAAGTGAAATAAATATTTCAGATTTACTTAAAAACTTCCTTCTCAATGATATACCTGAAGTTTATTTGATACGTTTCAATATGTACTGTTGATAATTTACACGAAGTATGCCTCTTTATTTCAAACGCACTATTTCCTTCCGGGTACTATATTTTGTGCGGATGTTCGACTGTATCGGCGTAATCGCTTTGTTGTGCGGCTGCTTATGGTCGGCTTAGTGAGACCGTACACAATTATCGCGACTCAGGCCCATTAATTCTGGCTAGTGTACACAAAGTGCTGCGTTTGTATGGTCCAGACCGGGTTGTACTACAAGAAAGACTTACGTGACATCTTCATCCTTCGTCCATTTCTAAATAATAGGTAAGTACTGAGTGAATGTTCCCATTTTCTTGTTAGCACACGAAAGGTGAATGGATTCTGTCTGGTGAAAGCGAGACAAGGCAACGATCTATACTTCACTTTCCATAAACGAAAGTAGGAAAACACCTAAACGCATGCCTCCACGTGCGTTTATTTATTGACATTGTTCACAGAAGACAATAGACTCGCGTGAAGTTAGATCCCCAGTTAAGCCTTTGTTGATGTATTGACTCGCAATTACAATGAGGTTATTTTATTGATTTATGTAAATTAATAGATACAGACAAGCAAGGAAGTTACTACATTGCCTACTCGCTGTTTTGAATTATGTTAATCCTTCATAATATTTTTTTAACTTTTGACTGTCCGTGTCATAATGGAAAAGTGTGAATGATAACTCTTCTATTCCTTTCATTCAGAAGTCCTGAAATATTGTGGCCTTTCTTGAATATTATTGATTTTCACATGCCCCTATTTCAGCTGTCAGGATACTGATAGTGCTGTCCAGTTCTACAAGGCCATCTGTCATGAGGATTTCTTTTTATCATCCCCTTTATTCCACACTATACTATAGCTTTTCATGTTTTCAGAACAGGAAAATCCAAATAAACTACAAGTAACGAGATACATATATATTAATGTACTTTTATACAATAGAATTAGAAAGGTAGATAACGCACCAGAATTGAAAAAATGGTTATCAAATTCAACCTGACATACAAATGTACAGCACTCAATCTAAAAAATAATTAAGGAGCTCTAATTAAAGCTGAAGAATAGATTTTCAAAACCAGATATATAGGTGACACTCCGTCTTTTATCCCATGAATTATTTACATTTCGGACATCATTCTGTCAAATAATCTGGATTTTGCTTAATTGGACAACAAGGCATTAAGCCTTTCACATTTCTTGATGAATTTGGGATCTTTTTAAGGCACTTTCCCCTAGATATTTTCTGATGCATTTTCCGAATTTTATTTTGCTAAAATCACTATTTCCCCTAAATTTAAGCTTTTTGTGTGATATGTTCCCAAATTCATTCACAAGACACACAGGCCCCTGTCTAAAATAGGAAGAATAAGTCATGGACATATGGTGCAGACGACTTTGCTGGGTCCGGTGGAGATAGATAAAAACAAATTAAAAAGAAAAAGAGAAGAATTGGTAAGTTATATTATGATTAAACAGATTTTGATTGTGAGAAGATAGGGTGTGTATGTCAGTTATGATAACATCTGGTAACTCGAAATAAGTTCCTAAGTTTTTAGCGATTTTCACAAGTTAGTGACTTTCCGTTAGGCAAGTGTTTAATGGAAGTTGTCACAACTTGAATAAACAAGATATACATAGCTGATTGGTAAATGTTTCAAAGTGTACAGTTAGTGCTTTCGCTGAAGTGGCAGGGGTTTTATGTAGAACATCACAAACATGATAACAGTCTGACAGAGTAGAATTAGTAGAACATGGACATGGGAAATTAAGTGATATTTTTCACAAATTAAATCAAAATAACATCTATATCAATTTGTACAGTGTCCAAACCTTTCAGTATTAAAAATAACATAACCATGTCCAAAAGAGGGGAAATCAATAAATATTGACCTACAATTTTCACCAGTTTTTGGGTAGTAGATTTGCTAACCCAATAATAACCGAACTGCAACCAGGTACTCGATTGGGTACCCGTACCAGCCCTAAACTTTTTACAGATTTCTAAAACCAGTCAACAAGGGTAACCAATTTCTTGTTTGGCTTAAATTTGTTAACAGCGTAAAGTCCAAATCACATGACCCGGCAAAGCTAGACAATGTTTTTTTGTAAATATGCATTCCACTACTCTTGATAATAACCACATCATTTTTCCATGCAAACATTTTTATTTTGCCATTGAAAAATTAGATAAGAGGTAGAGCAATTGCAATGTTATTGCATGTCATAGACAAGTGGCTGTCGCATAGCAATTTGGTATGGCCCAGTCTGCAATGAGTCGTCTACATGTTACCGCGCCACTGGGTCAGTAAATTCTGACAATCCCAGTGGTGGTCGTCCGAATGTAATGATGGCTCGACAAGACCTTGCAATTTGTTTGTGGTACCCAGTGTTCTCCCCAGGCTGTTTTTTGCAGCATGGCACCATGCTCCTATACTTTCTTTCCATGCTGCTATCCTAGATCTTCTCTGCTATATATTCATAGTAAATCTAAAGTTACCATGCTGCTTTGATTTTACATAGAGTGCTGCTTTAACAGAAATATCGAAATACCATGCTTCTTTCAAAACATTCTGAGGAGAACACTGGTACCTGTACAACAGATTCAAGAAAGCTACTGAGACTGCATCACAAACCATAGGAATAGCCACTCATGGTCGACCTATCAGTGCTCAAACTGCAAGGAATAAGCTTGCATGCTGCAAGAATCAATGCACCCCAACCATATGTCGAACCACCTCTAATGCGATGCTAATGTGTGTCTTGATTGGATGCGCAAATACACTGCTGCTAGGTACAGATATCAGATCCTACAACCACATATCCTACCACTTCTTAGACAGCACAACCTCACCTTCAAACAAGGCAATATTAATGGTCGACCACATGTTGTCAGGATCTGCCGTGATGTTCTCATGGAAAACAAAATTCTGTCTCTAGAATGGCCTCCATATAGCCTGACATGTCTCCCATTGAAGATCTTTGGGATGACCTTGACAGATGTATCCGTAAATATCAAAACCTGCGAAATTACAGAGTACAGTCAACCAGCGTTGACGGAAGAATGAAACAAAATTCTGTCCAGACAAATGTTCTCATGAATTCTATGCATAGAAAGTTCAAGCAGAAATCCATGCACCAATTATGGAAGTGTCGTTTTCCTATACAGAGGGTAGCACTCAGCAGTTATCATTTAAGTGACGACGTTGCAGACATTTCTTGAACTCTTAAGAGATTGATCTTCTCCTTATTGTAATATCAAAATTTTGTGGAAACAATATTACGAGGCAATAAAAAGTTACTGATTTAAGAGTAAAATTATGGGTTTCTGTTTTTGCAGAGTATTTTTATAGAATACTATCAAATTCTAAAACTAATTTCACATTGCAGCAGGGGCATTCATCTGTTGCAGACTTGTTCCAGTTTAAATCATTATTTGTCTGCGTGAGAGTGCATTCATTTACCTTGATCGGTCAATTTAAAAGTTAGTTGTTGAATGTTCATATACATATATAATATACATGTACTGGTATATATGTCACTTTAGTTCTTTGTAAAGATGGATCATGCAATATTTCATCTTCCCTGTGAAACTTGTAACTTGAAGTTTGCCACTTATGCCATAAATTCTTCCTTCTGACATAAAGAAAGTGGTAGTTATCAAAACGAACCATGGTATTGGCACATTTACATTTGACTGAGTTGTAGCTTCTGCTATAGGTTTTTATCATAATTTTTTGGTATAGTAATTGTAAGAATAAAAACAAAATTAATTGAAAATATTTTGAAAAAAATGGCATTTACTATGGTTCTAAAAAAATGGAACAAAGTATATCAGTGCCTGAAATGGACTGTTGCCATCAGTGATTAAAGTCTTGCTCGGGCGACCAAAAGTTGTCAAAGTGAGACAGTCACTAGCCCAACAAAAATAGTTTTGACGGTTTAAAAATCTGAGAATAAAAAAACAAATTATAGTTCCATTCACATTAACTGGTGGACGGTACGTTTTTGAATTGTCATTACTTCTATACAAATCTAACTGTCCGTGATTACGGTTTATTACGAACGGTATTATAATAAATATTAGAAAATGTGATGATTTTTCAGTCCAAGTTTGTCAATCATCTTTATGCTCCGTAAAAATATGTCTCAAGGACGTCTGCGAGTTTTATGTATTTAAAAATTGAGAATTAAAAATATACTGTTTTTTCTGTTTTACTTATTACAAACATTGTCATGGTATATGTAATTTTAAATGTGCTGAAGCATTGTGTTAGATGCTGTGGAAATATTTCTTCCTAAAATTATTTGGGCCACAAACGTCATTTGGGCTAGAGCTTCAAATTTTATACTCGCCCAAAATGTTTATTCAGGCACTGTATATATGTAGGTATTTCTTAATCAGATGATCATCATACATACAAAAATGGTCCATGTAAGGGAAGTTTCGTTATGGCCCCAATTTATTTACGGTGCAATCAGTGCCGCACCCTTACATGTAAGAATGATGTCAAGTTACAGTGATACCTCTAGGAGAATCCGAAGGAGAAATGGTGTGGATTGTGTTACCATGACTACTGTTTAAGGCCAAGTTTAGTGTTGTTGTTGGATGGTAGTATAGATGTCTGAGAGAAGGGACCCAGGACTAACTTCTGAAAAATCAATAATTCTTCATCTATTTGTCGCACAGCATTCTGCTTTTTCACTCTAGCAGATCAATAAAGTGCCACAGCCTCTCTAGTCCCTGATCAGCTGTACATGCACCAAGGTTACATGATGTATGTGTTACATAGACTTAATGAAACTCATTTACTAAATAAATGTATTGGTCTCATTAAGACATTTTTCAGTTTTGATTGTATTTTCAGTAGTTTTTTCTCTGCCGTTTTGTAAGGCAGTGCAGTGCTTCTCGTGGAACAAAGAATGATTAATATGATTGTACCAGACAAGTCTGAATTTATAATCTGACCTCATTTCATCGCAGAATGTATCGGAAGTGTAACATACAGAGCTTAGTGTTTGTAATATGTGTTATGCTTAGAAAGCTTATTGTAAGACTATTGCAAATGTAGATCTGTATTAATTGTTTGTCAGCTGGTTGTCGTTTTATTGTCTGTCTTTTGTAAAAAAAATAAAAAATGTGTCATTATTATTTTTTGTATGCTATTTAAAATTTATGAATCCAATAACTGATTTCACTGACCAATATTGTCACTTTCAGTATGACGGGCATGTTTGAAGAAGGCTGAACAGCTGCTGTGGTTTCCAAAATCACCAGGATGTCCAAACGCAAGTTTGCAGAGTTACAGAACGAGGGTAGTCCCAGCCACTCTGACTTTGATGAGAGCAGTAACTGTAGTTCTGTCATGACAAACAGCAGTTCCGATGTGCCCACAGGTAGAGTATATATGGATTACAGTACTGATGTTCTGATTATAATTCGCTGACCTGTTAGCTTGTTCACTTTTGGATTAACCCATTTAACTTGAAGTTTCCACATAGACTGATCTTCGGTATGAAGATTTTGAATTGTGGTAAATTTTTCAGGTTAGTTTAATTGCATTGGATTTGGTAACAATTAAACTTTTATTTTTGGAAAATGTTATACCGTGTTTTACTCACCTTTCTCAAGCAGTGTGTTGTGTAATTCTGTGTTTAGATTTAATTCTTTTCCTCAAATATAACCTTTCAACGTGAAGAAAAATTCCCAATTCAAATATCCTGATCATGATGTAATAAGCAACAGTAAATACTACCACTGACAAATTTCAGTCTGTCGATGTGTAACTTTATACAGAACATACATGTATGTATTTTTCAAAAACATAGTCTAGGACAAGTGGTTAAGATGTCTGACTGTTTACAATCACTAGTCTTCCAACCCTCGGTCATAGGTTTGAGGCCTACCTATATGGGGAAGTCACCACCCTCGGTCATAGGTTTGAGGCCTACCTATATGTGGAAGTCACCAGGTACTGGTATACCAGCTTTTCTCCACCACCAAAACCGGGCACATCATCGAATGACCATAGCTGTTAAACGGAAGCAAAACACAAACAAGCATTATAATATATATAGTAAATTTGTTTTCCAGAAACTAGTCCATGACCAGCACTAGTACTACTGTTGCCCTCTATATAGTATACACCACCTTTAATTTCCAAATCTTATTATATACTCTTCATACAATGTTTGAATGTTGCATACTGAAATTTGGTCTAGGCCCTATTTACAGAGTTATGGCCCTTTACAGTGTTTGCCTTGGAATCTCGTTTACTCTTGCCTACTTAGCTACAGTTGCCTAATTACTTGTGAGTGCCTCTTTGAGTTAGAAGAATTTTGTTTGTGCCAAACTGTGTACAGAGTTATGGCCCTTTGTCCACTATGTTAGATTTGCCTGGGAATCACATTTACTCTTACCTACAATTGCCCAATTTTGCGAGTGCCTCTTGATTTGGAAGAGTTTTGTTTGTAGATCTGTGCCCAACTTTTTACAGAGTTGTGGCCCTTTGTTTATTTTCATATCAAAGTTTGTCCTGAAGTTGGGGCTTATGGATTGCTCATCATGACTGCAAAATGTTTTGTTACATGATTGAAGCCGGTAAACCCAGCACAACAGTGTCTGGGTCATCTTTACCCTTAAAAGTAACTTGTCAAAATTGATTTATGACATTGCTGTGATTTTACTGTTAGTAACAAGTCTTTGTATCACACATGTGTTGGTCTGAAATACATAACATTTACCCGAGCAGTTTTTGTAACTGACCAAGCCATTAAGGTGAAAAGTCATTAGAGCTGGTATATGATATTGACCCCTAAATTTGTTTGTTGACTTCTATATATATATATATGAAGACATCACTTCAGATGTTAATGAGAAAATACAGATCACTCGTAATGTTTCCGACAGTTGAAGCTTCATATACCGGGTATATAAAAAAGAATTATAAAGATCTATGTGTATATAACTGATGAGTAATTACAGATATTGGATTTTGGGATATTTGTTTGGCCCAGAATTCTTTTATTTGGAATCATCACATTTTCATAAATTTTTATTCCATTTTATTGTCTCTCAAACAATTTCGTGCAGATTGACTGTTAGAAATCAGTTGAATGTGGACAGGTTATAAACTGTTATATAATAAACATTAATTTATTTCTCCATAAAACAGCTTGTTCAAAATTGATGAAAAGTCAAAAAGCAGAATGTTGTTTTTAGTGGCAACCAACTTTTTAATAGGGACCCTGGCATGGATATTCACAAGGTATTAATTAAATGCATTAGATCAAGTGGCATGGGCCCTGAGTTTTGTTATTTCCTACATATATATAAACTTTTATATGGGGCAAAGAAGTAACTCCAACAGTGTGGACAAGTTTAGGTTGTCAAATTTTCGGAGCAATCCGCTCCTTTATCAAGACACAGTGAAACAGAACAGTAACATGTACATATATACATCATATTACAAGAAGATAGAACTGATATACTATAATTGAAAATACAGCTATTATATAAAACCAAAAGTATTCTCGGCTAATTAAAGACAGCCGAAGGCAGCAATTAAGCTGAGAGCATCGCGGACAAGGAACGCTGATGTAGAGGACCTATTTTTGCCCAAGATGCACTATCACATAAAATGAGTCAAAGAGAGATAAGCACCAGAAAGAAGGGACGAGATGTGGGAATCTGGCCCGGTAAATGTGAAAAACCCCAATTTCCTACGGAATGCCCTCATTAGTCGCCTCTCAATTCTGCAGTTGATTTAACAGTCACAGCCGGGGGTCCACACTGTGTCGCCTCTTTCGGTTTGCAGGAATAATGCATGTAATTATCAAATAAACTTTTTCATATATATTTAAATTTTAAGTTGTGATGTTTTTCTCTGTCTTATATAACTTTTACACCTGGTTGAAAATTAGTTGACGCATATTTATTTCCCAAAATGTTGGGCAGAAGAATAGACAAAGTTATATGAACCTATCAATGTCTTCTAATAGAATTCTAAAATACATCCAATAGCAATGATGTAAATCACATAAATGACATAGTAAGGCAGAATAAATGTCAAATATTATTTTATTTCTATATCATATAACATTTCAAATCTTCTCTGCACCTAATGAAGTTTTGTACTTATGCCAAAAGAGTTCCTTCCCTATTTGACTCAACTGACAGATTCTCATTTCCAGTTTAGTAAAAGGTCTAAGTTATATTTACAAACTTGATATTATTTGGATACACTTCTGTGAAACTGGAAATACAGAATTCTTAAGTGTGTTTTAAGTAATTAAGACCAAAATTGGAAATTAACAATCACAATGTTGTAAAGTATTTGACATTCAGGAGCAAATATTTACGAGTGATGTTGTAATATTTTTTCCTATAAATATATCTGTAAGGCCTAGATTGTTGAATTATTGAACACTGATGATGTAAAGGTCTTACCTATATAGACAGCAGTAGTAGCTCACAGCTCCACGTTTGCAAAAGCATGAGCCACAGGAAATCAATATGGGGTACGGGTGATGGCAGTAGGGCCATGTCTGGTATACGTACTGTCTTATGAATGACACTGCTTTCAATACCCATCTGTCCGGGAGGAACTTTTGGAGGTTTGGTAGGGCTCGAGGCACAAGTGTTGAAAAATTATCAATATTACAAGTCTGCTGAATCTTACTGTTGTGGATACTGGCAGTTTTAATGTCATAAAAGAACAGGTTTCATATTGTACTTGTTCACTGAAAGATTGTTCATTACCCTATATATTAGTCAAGAGTGTGGTGTGTTGGGGGGGATTTAGATCTGGAATGGGTTTAAACTTTGGCATGTTTCATTTCATACTATGGTGATATGACAATATTCTGTTGTTACTAAATGACATTGCAAGAAGCACTTAATTATTTGTTGTTCTTCTGTTATGCGGTATTCTATTGGAAATACCTTGCCCACAAAAATCTGTTTGTGATACAGTATTGGATTTAAATATGAAATGACCAATATTTGTTTTTGTGTAATATTTTTGTTGATATGGGGAAGTGTTGTATGGGAAATATTTTTGCTATGTGATTTTCATTTTAATAAAAAGATTGATCTTTGCCACAGGGATTTCTGTTTGGGCCTCTTGATTATGAAGCAGATATATAGCTTACTGGGGTATCACGGGATATACCATGATACATTGGTTGTTTAAATCCTTTTCTGCCACGTTGCGGAGAATAATTTCAAAACATTGCTCTTAAAAAAAAGGCCTACGTACGAGTGTATACATATATATCTGTCCTAGGATAAAAATGGGAGAAATAGATCTACCAGGACAATAACTTTTAAACAGCCATGTACAATTGGACAGTGGTAGAACCCAGTATTAATGTCACTTATAATTGATGGAATAAAGATGAAGGAGTGTACATCAGTATAGTCAAGGTATCAAGGAACTGCCCCACTCCCATTCCTTAAATCTCTGAAAAGTTTATGGCATGTTGAAGCACCTCAATACCTTTTTTCTATCTAAATGTTACATTTTGTGAGATTTTCTGTATAAGGAAGAAAGATTTTCAAATAAATTATTGATGTTGGAAATGGAACTGAAATTCAGTTGCCATCAAAAACGTTAACAGTAGTACATACGACTTGTTTGGCGGTGTTATTAGGAGGTATGTATCTATAGACAGTGGAATTTGTCACCGATCCTGATTAATGCACAGATTCTGCAGCACAAACTGGCTCTTGTATGTTGGCTGTCTATCCAGGCCGACCTTAAAATCAATACACTTCAATAGAGAACTGGTACTAACGGGCCCACAGGATTAACATACAGCCTTGTGTTCCTCTCAGTATGATCAGCAGCCTATGTATCCTAGACTCCGCTCTCACCCAACACTCCTACTCTTCACACACTTTTAAGCATAAATGTTAATTATCGTATCTTGCTTAAAACAAAGATATAAAGTTGAGGTTAGCTGTAGAAATTCAAAAGGTTCCTTAAAAACTTTTTTTTGTTTATAATTATTATATAAGGATGAACTTGAATATATTTTTTATGTTATGAAGATACATGTATAACACAAAAAACGGAGTGTACTCTAAATAAACCGCGAGTGAGAGTACACTCCAATTTTTTTTGTGAAATAACTCCATAACAAAAAAAATATATTCAAGTTAATCCTTATAATTTAATCTACTATACACAATCCCTGTGGAAATCCACTTTTATTGACGGACTCTTAGAAATTGTTACGCCGCTGTATCAGCCAAACAAAAGAGACGGTACAAACGGCGGTGTCATTTTTGACATTATGAGCTGATAACATAATTTTTGAAGCTAATGAAAATGGTTGTTACCAGCAAGATTAAATTATTTTTATATGAATATTGATGTTATTAAAGAACGTACTTGAGATAAAACATTTGTATCATGGACACTAGTCCTAGGCCTGTATCATAGGGTTGACACTAGTCCTAGGCCTCCAATCATAGGGTTGACTCTAGTCCTAGGCCTCTAATCATCCAATCATGGGGTTGACTCTAGTCCTAGGCCTGTATTGTAAGGACCTCAGCAATAGGTATACATTTAACCGGTTATGTCATCACAATTGTTTAAAACGAAAAGTCAAGATCTGGTTGGAGAAATTCAAAAGATTTTTAAAACCACAGCAGTATGTGTTATTAAAGAACGTACTTGAGATCAAACATTTGTATCATCGACACTAGCCCTACCCCTGTATCATAGGGTTTACACTAGTCCTAGGCGTCCAATCATGGGGTTGCCACTAGTCCTAGGCCTGTATCATAGGGTTGACACTAGTCCTAGGCCTCCAATCATAGGGTCGACACTAGTCATAGGCCTCTAATCATGGGGTTGACACTAGTCCTAGGCCTCCAATCATGGGGTTGACACAAGTCCTAGGCCTCTAATCATAGGGTTGACACTAGTCCTAGGTATCCAATCATGGGGTTGACACTAGTCCTAGGCCTCCAATCATAGGGTCGACACTAGCCATAGGCCTCTAATCATGGGGTTGACACTAGTCCTAGGCCTCCAATCATGGGGTTGACACAAGTCCTAGGCCTCTAATCATAGGGTTGACACTAGTCCTAGACCTCCAATCATGGGGTTGACACTAGTCCGAGGCCTCCAATCATAGGGTTGACACTAGTCCTAGGTATCCAATCATGGGGTTGACACTAGTCCTAGGCATCCAATCATAGGGTTGACACTTGTCCTAGGCCTCCAATAATAGGGTTGACACTACTCCTAGGCCTCTAATCATAGGGTTGACACTAGTCCTAGACCTCCAATCATGGGGTTGACACTAGTCCGAGGCCTCCAATCATAGGGTTGACACTAGGCCTAGGCCTCCAATCATAGGGTTGACACTTGTCCTAGGCCTCCAATAATAGGGTTGACACTACTCCTAGGCCTCTAATCATAGGGTTGACACTAGTCCTAGGTATCCAATCATGGGGTTGACACTAGTCCTAGGCCTCCAATCATAGGGGTGACACTAGTCCTAGGCCTGTATTGTAAGGACGTCAGCAATAGGTATACATTTAAGCGGTTATGTAGTCATAGGCCTCTAATCATGGGGTTGACACTAGTCCTAGGCCTCCAATCATAGGGTCGACACTAGCCATAGGCCTCTAATCATGGGGTTGACACTAGTCCTAGGCATCCAATCATAGGGTGGACACTTGTCCTAGGCCTCCAATCATAGGGTCCACACTAGTCCTAGTCCTCCAATCATGGGGTTGACACTAGTCATAGGCCTCCAATCATAGGGTCGACACTAGCCATAGGCCTCTAATCATGGGGTTGACACTAGTCCTAGGCATCCAATCATAGGGTGGACACTTGTCCTAGGCCTCCAATCATAGGGTCCACACTAGTCCTAGTCCTCCAATCATGGGGTTGACACTAGTCATAGGCCTCCAATCATGGGGTTGACACTTGTCCTAGGCCTCCAATCATGGCGTTGACACTAGTCCTAGGCCTCCAATCATAGGGGTGACACTAGTCCTAGGCCTGTATTGTAAGGACTTCAGCAATAGGTATACATTTAAGCGGTTATGTAGTCATAGGCCTCTAATCATGGGGTTGACACTAGTCCTAGGCCTCCAAGCATGGGGTTGACACTAGTCCTAGGCCTCCAGTCATAGGGTTGACACTAGTCCTAGGCCTTCAATCATAGGGTTGACACTTGTCCTAGGCCTCCAATCATAGGGTTGACACTACTCCTAGGCCTCTAATCATAGGGTTGACACTAGTCCTAGACCTCCAATCATGGGGTTGACACTAGTCATAGGCCTCCAATCATAGGGTTGACACTACTCCTAGGCCTCTAATCATAGGGTTGACACTAGTCCTAGACCTCCAATCATGGGGTTGACACTAGTCATAGGCCTCCAATCATAGGGTTGACACTAGTCCTAGGCATCCAATCATAGGGTGGACACTTGTCCTAGGCCTCCAATCATAGGGTCCACACTAGTCCTAGTCCTCCAATCATGGGGTTGACACTAGTCCTAGGCATCCAATCATAGGGTGGACACTTGTCCTAGGCCTCCAATCATAGGGTTGACACTAGTCCTAGGCCTGTATTGTAAGGACTTCAGCAATAGGTATACATTTAAGCGGTTATGTCATCACAATTGTTTAAAACGAAAAGTCAAGATCTGGTTGTAGAAATTCAAAAGATTCTTAAAACCACAGCAGTATGTCAACATTTCTTTGTATTTATTTAAAAAAAGTCAAGTATCAAACAGACATCACGAACCCTAACATTTGATTGCAAGATAGAAATAAACCATGATAATTAATTCAATGTTCCTGCATGCGCAGTGTCATTGGTAACTTGCATTGGTACCTCTAGGTTTGCGGCTCCATCTGGATTAATATAAAATCTCAACATTGTATATCCTGATTAGTCTGAACATTGTATATCCTGATTAGACTCAACTTTGTATATCCTGATTAGACTCAACATTGTATATCCTTAGTCTCAACATTGTATATCCTGATTAGTCTCAACATAGTATATATATCCTGATTAGACTCAACATTGTATATCCTGATTAGTCTCAACATTGTATATCCTGATTAGACTCCACATTGTGTTTCCTGATTAGAGTCTGGTAAGAGACAGGTAAATTACCATCAAAATGCTGTTAGCCTTGTTACATCGAGACCGATTGTCAATTAGACTCAGATGGCCCTTCCCCACCCCTCCACCAACACCCACCAGCTCTTGCTCCAGATAGACAGACTATTTACCATAGGGATATCAATGATATTGATCCAAGCTGCTGTAGTTAGACAATGTAAGGACGTTGACCGAATCAGCACTCCCAAGGGTATGTCATCTATTGATCTGGATGTGTCACATTTGGAGAGCAGCATACAATTCATTAGCTATGAGTACGATTAGTGTGACCATTTTACCAGGATATCTCTCAACGTTATTCCAGTATCAGATTATTTCACACTTATATGAAACCTATGGTCCTAGATTTTGGATGACCTACATTTACACCTGGTTGAAAATATGCGTTTTATGCTTCACCTGCAGCAGATTTGTACTATATGATGTATTGGAAGAGTGGTATAAGGTTGTTTTTGGATTTGTTGAAAGCCAATGAGTCACTCCTGAGTGAACAATACCAGTTTTTGACTGTAGATACATTTTGTAACTTAAGCAGCTCCTGAACTTTTTTATTTTTCTCTTTCTACTTTTACTTTAATTTTTTGAAAATAAGAATAAAACCAAAATGTTCAATGATTTTTTTATAAACACCACTTAAGTTAGCCCCATGGCACCGTTACCAACTTCAAGGTGTGGTACAGTATGTGTAGCATTGAGTGAGTGTATAACAACAACCGACTACTGCTCACGTGTGTCGCTCACACAGTAATTGATAAACAAATCTCATTACTGCTGTAAACTAATCAACTAATTTGTAAGCCAATCTAAGCCAGACAATCATTAGTTTATGTTTCAAGATCTGTGATTAACTATCTTCTCAAACAGAAACTTCTTTTTAGCTGATCACCCATTACGAAGTACCACAGTGAGCTTTTATGGTTGTGCTTCGTCATTTGTCTGTCTATTAAGTGGAGGAACATCCAGGGGTCTGATCATGAGGGGCAGATAAAGGTGGTTAAATTTTCTGATTATTTCTAGATGACACCTACTTTCAAACCACAGCAAAAGTTTTTCCACCAAGGGGTAGTTGTAGCATGTTTATATGCCATGAAGGTAAAAGGTTATACAATTGCAAGTTAAGAGGGTAATTACTTTCCTTTGGGCACTCTTCACAAACTTCTGGATAGATGTTCAACTTAATTTTCAAAATAGCCGGGTGAACTACTCAATTATTAGCCTTAGCTAGGCCTCCTTGTCTTGATCTTCTGTGCTATGTTAACTTGTAAAATAACATGCATTTTTATGTCCTTGTGTTGTTATTCCCTGCTTAACGTTCAGCATTTAGAGGAATGGCAACAACTGGTTCACCCGTTGTCAGTATAATATGACCAGGCGGAATGCTGTGTTGGGTGCCTTCGGCATGGCATTTCAGTGATATAGCACTATAAAGTCAGCATCAGATCCGCACCATCACGAGGAGGCAATTACTCCAACATACCCTGTCTCCTGCATACACACACGCAAGTACGCATACACTACAAACAAGGAGGCACGTCCTTAAATGACCTTGGCTGTTCTAAGGAAGTTCAACAAAATTAAACCAAACTAAACCAAACCATGCCCTCATGACATATATATAGAAAGGCTAAATGTTTGTAGCTTGATACGTCAAAGTGGGAACATACACATACATGTGCTTTACAAACGTTTTCTAGTCTGACAGGTTTGACCCAGACAGACTGATATGGAAATTGAAGGTGTGATAATTATAATTATCACACAGACTTCATGAAGACAAATCACACATTGCTGTTAAGTTTTTCATTAACTTATAAATAACTCCACCTGTAGGGTTAAGTTTGTTAATTATTCTGGGGATCAAGAAAACCTAGTGGGCTGAAGAGAAAGTCAAATGAGAAAGGAAGAAGTTACCGGTAGTTTTTCAGTTATATTGTGTTCCTGTCATAAGGGTATCACCATGACTATTTAATGAGTAATAGTAAAATGCTATCCAGCTGTGGATATAGTCTGGTTTATTTGGTTTAAGTTTTATTTCATTCTATTTCAGGAATTGTCAGCAACAAGCAGAAGAAACCAAAAAAATCAGTACAGTTTCATGATGTCAAGGTCTACTACTTCCCTCGATCTCAGGGCTTTGTGTGTGTCCCCAGTGAAGGGGGCTCTACTCTGGGTAAGTAAAATATAGAGCCTCGGGATCAGTCTCATTACTCTCTAGATTTATCCCTGGTAGTGACGGACTACTGCTGAGTAAGTAACATATAGAGCCTCGGGATCAGTCTATTTCTCTCTAGATTTATCCCTGGTAGTGACAGACTACTGCTGAGTAAGTAACATATAGAGCCTCAGGATCAGTCTATTACTCTCTAGATTTATCCCTTGTAGTGAGGGACTACTTCTGAATAAGCATAATATATCTGTCTTCAGTGAAGAGGGATACTGTGGGTAAATAGGATAGATTGATAGAATCTATTACTCTTTTATGATTTAGATTGATAGAATCTATTACTCTTATATGATTTAGATTGATAGAATCTATTTCTATTTTATGATTAAGATTGATAGAATCTATTACTATTTTATGATTTAGATTGATAGAATCTATTACTATTTTATGATTTAGATTGATAGAATCTATTTCTATTTTATGATTTAGATTGATATAATCTATTTCTCTTATATGATTAAGATTGATAGAATCTATTACTCTTATATGATTATGATTGATAGAATCTATTACTCTTGGCAGTGAAATAGAATTTATTGAAATAAAGTACAGGGCATTTTCAAAGTGCTCAATTTCAAAAGTCTTATTCTCCAAGGGTTGAGATTTTCCTGTCTGCATCACTTAGCTAGGAGTGACTGATTATTTTTCTGTCACACTTTCCTGCTGTAGAAAATAATTTGTAATGGTGAACTGTTTCACTGTGCCATCATCAAGAGTGCATGAAATGTGTGACAAAATTGATGATTCTACCCTTGTTACAGTACACAACAGGAGTCGACACTAACACTAGTCAGCTAGTCCTGGACTAGTAGATTTCAGCAAGGACTAGTAAATCACCTAACCTAACTGGTCCTTTGGACTTGTGAAAAATATGATTATAAAATAACGATTTTCCTTTTTTTAAATTAAGAAAACTGCGTAAAATAAGATATATTGCATGAAAATTGTCAAAATTTTCCTAAATCCACATTTCTATGGCAATACATGAAGTTATTTTTAGTCCCCTACAGTCAATTGCTTTAAATGTCTTATCAGGAAATCTTTGACTAGTTACATTGAAGAAGGACTAGTAAATAATCTATTCAACTAGTCCTGTGGACTACCAAGCAAAACAAGTTAGTGTCTAAACCTGCACAAAGAAATGACACCATGGTAACACTATCAGAATAACAGTGCATTTGAGATTAAAGGGAGATTACTCTGGGAAAATAAGATCAATACAGATTCTCTGTGCTTTTCTCTAGATTTGTCCATATTAAAGGGGGGGGGGGGGGGCTACTCTGGTAGGTATACTCTATCTGTTCTAGTGCTTCTCTTGGAAAACCTCATAAATGTAAGTACTTGGTCTCTAGATTTAACTGGAGACAGCTCTGAAAAAGTAAAATACAGATACATATATGTAAACATGATTCATTCTCAATACATTAAATGATAAAACAAGTCCACCAGACATTGTCGCTGCCATAGTTAACACAAGGTTGGCTTTATATTAGCCATTTTGTTGTGTTTTCATTAAAAATTAATTATTCCGTTAATAATTACAAAAACAAATTGTTTAATTCCCAACCTTTAAACTTTTCTTTACTTGGTACATGTTTGAAGATTTTTGTGCTCAACTCTACCATACAACATATCCTATAGTGTCTGTTTTTGTGTCCACGGTTTATTTGTAACTGGAAGCGTTAAAATGGGAACAGTACACATCTGAGCCTAGCCTGGCTATCTGGCCCAGGTTGCTCAATGTTTGGTTAACTTAAACCAGTGGTTAGTGAAATATTCAAATTGTTGCCAAGAGGATATAAAGGCTTTCAGAACAAAATCTTCCAAAACACATCAATCTTGTTTGTCTCAACAAATATAAAGGCTAAGCAGTGAAATGATTAATAGAATCTTCCCCTATCATGAGGGTGTGACAGTGAAATCTCCAACCCCAGGGATGATAGTCTTGATGTCTTAACCGAGGCTTTGCTGAGGGTAAAGCCTCGGGTAAGAAATTCGAGAATATCATCCCGAGGGTTGGAGATTTATCTGTCACACGCTCAAGCTAGGGGATGATTGTTTTTCTCCAATCCTGTTTAACGCACTAATCTGCTAACAAGCGATGATTGCATGAAATATAAGCGTTGATTGTATGTTTTTCCAACAAACTCGAGTTGTCTTCCATGGTCTGCTATACTGTCGACGTGACGTCAATGCATTGATGACGTGATGTCATACTATTGTTATGCACGAGGCTAACTCCCCCTAGGGGGTGACAAGCTGATCTTTTCGGGTTTAAAAGGGAGACCCACCTGTGAAGAGTGGGAGAAATAAGATGTTCTTAATTTGGTTGTATTCTTATTTTGAATTTTTGGTAACCACTTGTTAACTCCAACCAGTGGGCAACTGGGACCTGTAGTATTGACACAGAAACACTCAATAATATGCCAAGGACTCTGATGATCCATAAAACATTTAATTTCCAATAATTAATGACTTTGCTGTTTTGACCCTTCATCTAAATTACTCAATTGTACCGAGAGAAATGCATGTATGTATAGATGTGGAAGCTGACCTGTGTGTAAGACTGACCTTTGTGTTGTAGGTATGGAGCTGAAGCACTCCCACATTGAGGACTACTCTGTGGCTGATTATGCTAAGGAGCAACGGCGTCTACACCAACGCATGCTGGAGGAGCACCGTCACCAGGGACGTCTAATGCCTGGCCTTCTGGGAAAGTCCAAGGTGTGTGACAAATCGGACGATGATGAGGATGATGACGAGGAGGAAGAGGAGGAGGAGGAGGAAGACTCAGACTTTGAAGATTTAGAGGACTATATATTCCTCCAACCTATATCAATCAGACAACGACGCACCCTACTGCGGCAAGCAGGGGTAAGGAAAATTGACATTCAGGAAAAGGATCGATGTAAGGACATTCGGGTGTCTCGTGAGGTTTGTGGTTGTGATTGTAAGGTGTACTGTGATCCGGAGACATGTGCGTGTAGTGTGGCCGGTATCAAGTGTCAGGTAGACCGTCTGTCCTTCCCGTGTGGCTGCAGCAAGGACGGGTGTGGCAACACCAACGGTCGTATAGAATTCAACCCCATCAGGGTCAGGACTCATTTCATTCATACACTCATGAGGCTTCAGCTCGAAAAACGGGAGGAGGATTCATCATTATATCGACTGCAAAAATCATCGGGGACAAAGTCTGCATCAGATGCAGAACTGGGCGTAGGATTGGATACATCGGTTAAACTTGTGCAAGCTGCCAATCAGGATAAGCCTAAAGCAGTAGACTTGACCGAGTTTAACAGTAATGAATTGGGCAGTTGTCGGGATTGTCAGAATTCAGAGGTGTGCAATATGATGATGGCGGAAGTCCAGCACGCCAGTTTGGAGGCCGAGCAACAGCGTAATGTCCTAAACAATATGTATCAATACAAGGATCTGCCACAGGGGACTGTGACTAACCCCCTCCCCCACGTCCTGCTCTTCAACGACACAGAGGATGACCTTTACACCGCCCAGAACACCACACCCTTCTATAACTTCAAACAGGAGGATGCATCCTACTCGGAGACCAGCGAGTGCTCGAGTGACACAAGCACAACCTATGAAAACAGTCATTATCAGAAGTCGTACCAAACTCTGGCCACCCCTTCTTTTGAGGGCTCATTGGGGGAGGAGGCCAATCAAGAGTTCTGTCACCGGTCAAATCCACCCAACAACTACATACAGGGCACCCCCAATGAACAGAAATACATGTCCCTTAACTCCTCCAGTCACATGTACCGTGTAGGGCAGGTGGCTCCCCCTGTAGACTCCCACCACAATTACTCTACCCCCCAGACTCAGTGGGCCACAGGGGGAGGCAAGCAGGCCCCTGCGCCCAGCACATACACCAATACAGGGACTTCTCAGACCAGTGTGTCGGGTCTGTCCTCCTGTAGTTATATAACCATGACCAACACAACGTCGGACCAAATCGCAGAGACATGTCCCAGCATTTCATCCCTCATCAATAATGTAAGTCAGGGCCTAGAGTATGTGGACCAAGGCATTAACAACTTCAAACCGGTCAAGGAGGGCTACGGCACTGAACAGCTTCCGAGTGACTACAGCATGGACTGTGGCTCTACGGCCAAGGTCTACACTGACCTTGACAGTAACACGCCACCACTGAAGGACAGAACCAATGATCAGTGCCTTCTGCTCGAGTCAGCGGCACACACAACACATAAGGCAGATGGTGAACCAGACAAAGTCACCACAGAGTCATCACGTGCAGACTACAGCATTGCGCCTATCATGGAGAACATCATCTCATCGTCAACGAGCATAGCTCAAGATTTATCACAAAAATTCCAGCAAAACCACTGTGTCAACCCCACCATCACTTCCACCTCATCATCTAACCACCGCGACTTGCTACGGTCTAAGGTGGAGACAGGGCAAAACTTTGGTGAAATCATCAAGGAGTCAATAGTGGAAACTGTGTCGGCCTAACTAACCGATGTGTTGTTGTAACATATCCAGGCTGTAAGCTAGTACAGCGTGAACTGATTGATGACCGTGTAGAGTAGATTATAAACAATGTCAGTTGTATGTCGGCTAGTCTTAAACCTTTTACTGTTGTAGATTTTGTATGTGGATCACTGTTTGCCGATTCTTAAATGTCTATATCGTAAACTGCTTTTTGGATTTGAAATTAAGCTACATTAGCTGTACCTTAGCATGTCTACCAGTGTTTCAAATAGATTTTTTTTACTTAAATGATTGAAACAGGTTATGAAGCATTCATAGTGTTTTGAATTCTTCACTAAAAATCATGTTTTCTTGCAAGCTGAAGTTGTTAATGTATGATTTTGTTTATAGGATTTTGTCAGGAAAACTCTGAAACTTTCGTTTTGAACCAATCTAGAAATGGTATTATTTAATGGCCCATAGTAAATTAGTCCCTATGTCTAATGGCCACTGCTTGTCCCTGCAGGATCCATAATGAGTACAAAAAGCAAACATTTGAGAGCTGGGGGGGGGGGGGAACCTTTTGTCTGTACAGTACAAGCTGTCTCTAACAAATCTTAACTTTGACGGTCAAACATCAACTGTTATTATGGTTAGTAAAACTAGATGCTCCGGGGGAGATGCTCCGGGCAGCTGACCCTGAGATCATTAAGTCTAAAATCGTCTTAAGGTTTGACTTAGCCAATCACAAATAACGTCATGAAAAGTTGGGACGTCATACCTGATTGGCTAAGCAAAACATTTAGATCTTACATTGTTTCATGATCCCAGGGCCAGAAGTACCTGCAGAGGTGTATAGTTTTTGGAGTACTAGCTGACAGGTTAATTATAGCCGACAGGTTAATTAATTCTAAAAAGTTAGAAAACTAGACCAACCTGTATATTATTCATCATAGTAAATATTCCAATGTTTAACTAGCCCCATCATAACATCTAATTGTGGGTGAACATGTCAGGCTAGTGTTATCTCCGACTTTGTGAAATTTTGATGTTAACCGATTCTGTTAAAGATCAAGCAGTAGGAAATGACATGCTTGTGGCCACTTAGAAGGAAGGCTCTAATATATATAGGCTGGTTATAAGGTTGATACATTTGAAAATATTTTATTGTTGAAATATTAAGATGAAACATGTAGTTTTAAAGATTGATACACTTGAAAATATTTTATTATTTAAATCTTGGACGAACAAGAAAGGTTTGTTCAAGCTGTATACTAGATTGTAGTACTAGTATAACACACATTGTTAAAAAAGAGTTCAGGGAAAGCTCTATTTAAAGGGGAAATGGTGGTTTTTTAATTCAGAAATAATTTGAATGATTTATGCTTTATATGTGTAAATTTGTATGTCATTATTTTCTTGTCTTATTGACTAAAACATTTAATTGTTTTATATAAACCAGTCATGAATGGCATATTTTGTACACAATTAAGTCCTCAAAGGATCTCTAGCATTGGCCCTTTTAGTGAAGTGGATGCTTTCGAAACTGACCAAGTTAGTTTGATTACAATGTAATTATAAGGAGGGTATACTGATATGAATTCCCACATCCTATCTGTAATCAGTTTCCTAGGCTGCCAACTTCTCCCTCCTCTGTAGGTTTAGGTGCTGATGGAGCAGCGTTGTGGGATTCAATATTGTCGTAATTGTGCATGCTTTCGTATTATCGATGTCATCTTTCAGACCGTTTTTTTGGTCCTGTCTTTTATGTGATGTAAAAAAATGATGAACTGTTTGTTTATCTGTGTATGTGTAGATTTATATTTAGAAATTTTTAGACGAAATTTCTTGCCAAATTGATTCTGTATCAAAGCTTTATGATGAAAATTGATATTTTTATAGAAATGTCTTAATTGTGCAGTAGATTTGTGTTTTGTATAGAGTTGTCACAAATGTATGTATTCTCTCATTGGGGGAGAGAAGATCTTTACTATTTACCTAGTTTAAAAAGATAAAAAAAAAAAATAGTCCCTTTCTCCAAATAAACAGAAATCTCATGTTTGAACATATCATTTGCAAGATTACATTTCCTTTGTTCAATATTTATTTCTTGTATGTAATTTAGTGTTTCTTACTTTCCATTCATTTACATATACTGACGCAACATTTCAAATGGAGAAAAGGCAGGCAAAATCTTGATTTTTACAACTGCACTCTTGCAGTGCCTTTCAAAATGTGTAGACTTGAACTTGCTCATCACCTTTTTTATGGCCAGTCAAAGACATACTTAGTGGCAATGTGCAATTTCATCAAAAAAGAGCTATTTCCGAAATATTTTGGCCATTAATCATACTAAATATTGGTATAAAAAGATGTATATTTTGCAATTGTATTATTACATAGAATTACTTAATGTGGGGAAAAAATAGGGGGAAATAGAATTACTTAATATGGGGAGAAGATAGGGGGAAATAGAATTACTTAATTTTGGGAGAAGATAGGGGAAAATATAATATAAAAATTCCATTACATTTGTCGCACTTAAAGGGGTGTCGTAAGTGTAAACAATATTCCTGGAATAGCCTCATATCTCAACTCTTGCATCATAACAATAGTCTCAATTTTTGCTTCATAACGATAGTCTCTTGTTATTTGAGGTAAGAGGATAAGTGTCAATGTGATGCTGATCGAATTTTGTTCATAGCCCATAGTCTCAGAAAGCATTAACTTCTGGTCATGTATGTATAGAGACTTACTGCAGCAGCAATGTGAATATACTTCGTTGTTTCTGGAACTTAAAGATTCAAATTATACTTTTTAAGATGTGATTGAAAGCCATTTTGTGCGCCAAGTTTTATTGGTCCTTATTTCAATGTAACATGCTGGCAGCAAGATCCTACCTGGTGTAAATGGCATCAACGACATGCCAGAATCAAGTTCTCTCAGAGTTATATACAAGGGCAGATAACTCCCCTGATCCTTTATCGTCTCTATTCTTCTTAAAAGTTAATCATCACATTTCCTCTTTAATGCAATTTATTTCCAACTTTGAATGTTACTTAACTAATCCCTTTTCATAACGGTTCCTGATCATGAATGTCCTGCTCATCCACATACAGTGTTTTCCTTCAGTCGTTGGTGCTTATTTATGTTCTGAAATGTTTTTCTTTATTCCTTATTTCCGATGTGGTGCTAGCCAGATAAAAGATGAGAGTAGTCCCGTGCCATGTTGTTATTTATTGTACCACTGCTGGGTTTTCAACCAATGACAAGTCGGATAATCCACACTAACACACAAAACTAACTTAGAAACAAGACCAGAATTCTTAATATTTTATTAATGTTTTAACTACGAAGTCTTTACTGTGGCATTATACCAAGGGGATCTGATCATGATTTGTCCACTGAAAAATAATCATACAATTATATTGTGACCAATTCTGATTCTCTTTGGAGCTCTGACATGAAGATTTGAACAGATCATATGTTTAAAATAATTACAGCTACCTGTGTGAAATTATTTTTGTATAGATCTTCCATGGAAAGTTAGATAGAATCTTTAAAGAAAGAACATGCCTGTAAGGATATTTTGTCAGGAATTGAGAAGGAAGAGCTGAGATGTTAGTCACTGTATCTTAGTTTTTAACGGGACTTCTTATGAACAAAAATCAGAAAAAACACTGCCATGGTTGTTTGTCCTGAAAGACTGCATGCTAAAGCAATATTTATCAGTGTTCTTTTGTTTGCAATATATACATGGATATTCAAAACAGACCATACGATTAAGAAGCCTAGTAATCAGGTTTTCAGTGTACAAAAATGTATTTCACAGTCTCTTTAATACCAAAGTCAGAAATATTGTGTAATTAATGTCCATATTTACAAAGTAATGTTGTATTGTGATAAATGTATGTACTAACAAGATGACAAGAATAGGGCTATTATTATAATGAGTATCACTGTGGTAATCGTACGGAGTGACTTATGTGTCTCCTGTAGATATAGTATCTAATTACTCTATATCTCATTGATAATATCCTGTTAATTTCTTCATATGAAACGATTCTTTCTTTCTTTTTCACAGCTTGGTTATAACTTTAAATAAGTTTGTTCTCAAAAGAAAAGCCTACCTTGGGTGGCCTTTATGAAAAGAAAAGATTGAATACACACAAGAAAAATCAACAGTAAAAATGAACCCTGGATCTCTATCTTTATACTGTAGCTCTAACCGTCTGAGCTAGCCTATCAACCATAATGTCTTTGTGCAGTTTGACTAAAATTATTTCCGAAACAAAATTCAGGGGAGGTAACTCAGTTAACAAAAACTTTGTGTAGTTCTCTAGTGTTTTGCCTGCAGTAGGACTGGAAACCTGAAGATAGAAACCTGACATAATTTGAGTCCTCAATAACTGGCAGGTCCAAATTACTGATTTTAACTGTTCAAGTTTGGATATAAACAATGTTGATTTTAAAACTGTTTTGAATACAGGACATCTGGTTTGCTAGTCTTTCACTCTACCAAATGAGCTCTGGAAGTTTTCCCCCTAGCCGAGACTGTAGGAAGCGGCTAGTATTTTACCAGGGAGAATTTCATAAATATAGTATTATTTTGGATGTATTAGCATCACATTTACCATAGTAAGCAGCTGAAGACTTTTTACCATGTGCTGAACATATCTAAATCTTAATTAAAATCAGCTTACCTGTGTTGTAGATTTATTCTCAGAGATCTAAATATAGACCATGTCATCAGATCTTCATCAGATCTAACAAATCGTGTCCCTTTTGTTTAATGATGGATATCTTAGTAGATAACTGTACTTGTATAATTCTGATTTGTATGGATCATGTGACGGTTTCTGTGTTAACCGAGTCCAGATTTCTGTGACGGTTTCTGTGTTAACGAAGTCCAGATTTTTGGACGGTTTCTGTGTTAACCGAGTCCAGATTTCTGTGACGGTTTCTGTGTTAACCGAGTCCAGATTTTTTGACGGTTTCTGTGTTAACCGAGTCCAGATTTCTGTGACGGTTTCTGTGTTAACGAAGTCCAGATTTCTGTGACAGTTTCTACAATGATCACGTTCAGTGTTCTGTGATACACACTCTCTACTAGTCAAGCCACGTATGTATCCTCTTGTTATATTCTCTCTACTCACAAATTTTTAAAAACTGCTTACCGGTACCCAAATATTTTACATTCTGTACCTTCCCGTGGTTCACATTGTGCTCGGTAAGCATCGTGTGATGATTGAGTCGCTATGTTTTTAACCTTGTGACATTCAGTAGCGTTCCAATATATAAGTTACTGCATGTGATTTGTAGGCTTGCTGTTCAGATAATTTTTATACACCTTCTACTTGTAAAAACCCTACTGAATCAAGATTGAATCTCTTGGAAAAAGATCTTATTTCTGATGCATTTTGAAATTTAACATGTGTTCTTTGAATTGATTCTATTAATCTATAATCTATTGATTATTGTAATAGAACATAATCAGGAATAATAGTGCTTGTATTGTTTTACCAGTTTGTTTTAGATAATGTGGCACTAAGTTGCTTTATTACTTAGTTGGAGTTGCACCAACTGCTCTAGTATGTTTTACACGTATGAAAGATCTGATTCCTTGCTTGACGGGGAGGCGACACTTGGTCTCTTGGCTTTTGAACTTGAACAAATAGTTAAAAACTGTTTTTGTCAAATCTCTGCAATTATTATGTTTCTGCAATTATTCTGTTTTCCTTTGTTTTATTATTATTACTTTAATGTTATGTTGAATAAACAATTTGCTACCAGCATGTAATCAGTAAGATTAAATCAGATATTTAAAGTAAAACCAATTAATGCAGGGTTAGTCTGGAAACTGGTCTATTCCCAAAGTAGGAATAGTTTATCGTAAGTAAGTATTGGAGACAAATCGGTCGGTAAGGACATGGGAGACACGATAACTTTTTGAAAACTGACTACTTTTCTGGAGTTATCTTTCTTTCAATGCATTTGAAAGAATTTATTTGAAAATTTCGATAATTTAAATCCAAATTGTTTTGAAATAAAAGGTTTAATTTGGTAGTGTTTTATTTTGACCTGTACAATTCTACTACAGTCAGTTTATTTATAAGATGTACCTTTACACGATACGTTAAAGAGATGTTGTCTTCCGGAAGACATTAATTCAGTAATGACAAAAACCTTTAAAATTCTGTCCGACCAGTTTTAATGGTTGTTTGTGTTTTCTGCTATGATGGTTGTGAAATACCAGTATATTAGTCAAAGTATCAATTCAATTTTTACAAATTAAGTGTAATTGTTTTGTTTATTTTTGCAGTTAGTTGTTGAAATGTGTTGAAGTGTTCCATGTTGGTTAAGTTTTCCGATAACAAAAACAAGGGACTTGACAGCCATAGTCCAAACCAGAATGGTACATTTTGTTTTTTCAATACATTTGAAAATTTGTTTATAATTTTTTAAGAATCTTAAACATTGATCATGTTGTGCTTGTATTTGAGCTCTGTTAAAGCAATGGTCCATTTCATCAGAATGTACCGGGATTTGGTGCAACATGCTTATAGGCCTAAAATGTACTGTTGTATTACAACGTTCTCACATACCTTCACTGCTGTGTTCTATAAAACAGAGAAACAACCAGCATTGGTCAGGATAGGTAGGCTGGGTCAAGTTTGACATGCCAAAGTTTTAAGATTTGTTTTTGAATGATAATTCTGTGTTTTATTAGTTCTGTATTAAGCTATATATAAGATTGCGTGGTGTAAATATATTCATGTTTATTTCATCAAAGAAGAATTGCATCACAGGGAAAATGTTCTATTTCACATTAAGACTTGAATTTGTTTGAAGATGCTAAGTTTTTTTGAGGAAAGGCTGACCTTGCTGTTTTCGTGTCTTTAAACCTCTGTTGATGGACACTGTTATGACTGTAAACGGTAATAGAGCTATGCTTTTAGCACTTACAATTAGCAGGTTTTAATGATAGATTTTATGTTGTACATACTTGTAGATGTTTGACTGAAAAATGTGACATTTTACATTTGTTATACGCAAAAAATCATCTCTATTGTTAACGATGCACCCTGTGACCTCCCTGACAGTTGGTTGTCACAGCAACCAATGTTAACAGGGCCAATGTCTCGGTAGTAAACAGTTGTTGATAATGTGTACCAAAGTTTTCAGTATGTCAATAGTGTTGTTATATATACATATATATATATCTACATATATCTATATTGTGTAAGTAAGATGACTGTGCAATAAATCATGTGAACAAAAAACAAACTCATGATTTTAGTTACTATAATTAGACTCGCAGTTCTTTAAGAAATACCGATGTGACTTTATGTAGTAACAATTGGACATACAACTCTATATAAATACCCTTGTCCTTGTGATTGGTTACTATCAGAGCTACAGATTTCTAATGGGTCGTGACCACCAAATGGTTAAGGTGTCTGATGACATACAATTACTAGCCCTTCACCACTGGGTCGCAGTCGCCAGCCACTGGCTGCAGGTCAGTGGTCTTTCTCAGAGCAGTCTGGTTTTCGTCTGCCACCAAAATTTGGCACAGCCTTCAAGTACCATAGCTGTTATATAGGATGTAAAACACAAACAGATCAAACCAAAACACAGATATTTACTACACATCCTCGTCCTTTGTTCAGTTTGTAGATTTATCTCTCCCTCAGTACGTGTATGCTGCTATCAGGGTTATTTACTCATTTAATGGTTAACTGTGTGGCAGCAGGGTATACCAACAGGATGGGGGGTAAGTGTAACTTCCAGAAAAAGCCTGATTGTTTGAATTTAAGAAAATTAATTTGATTAGCAATCTGGACAAACTCCAACAACGTAAGGGTTCTAAGGCACTGCAACCTTTCCGATTTACAGTATTTTTGCCCTGTGATACTCCTTATCGAATTTGGTTCAAACCACTTAACCATTACTGAAGGAGAAGGCTTTGTGGCATACAACACATATGTTAGGAGCTGCACAGAACTGGTAACTATTGCCTTTATTAGTATCGGCCCAACCCTTTGCGCACAGGGGTATACATGATCTATTTTTACAACGTTGAATTCCCATGACTTGAGGATGCCCCAGACCGAATTAAGTTTAAATGCCTTTACTTTTACTTTTTCTCCTATTATTGGCCAGCTTCTCTGATCCCAGTAATGTCATACTCTTCATTTTTACGATATTTATTTTCCTTGGTCCAGGAATGCTCAAAACACAACCAGTCCATATCATTTCTACCTCTCCAAAACAGTATTAACCTATATTGGAAAATATACTCGCACTTTGCTAAGGATCACTTTTATTTTTGGGCATATGTGAAAATGAAATATTTCATTTGGTTTATACCGAGATTATTTTTGAAAAATTATTGTTCTTTTAATTAATCAGCATGCAAAAATTCAAAAAAATGTAATTACAGTAGGAAAATGAGCCACAGGAAAACGCTTACCCTTAAAATTGGTAACAACGAGGTATTCACTAAAAAACTTAAATTGAACAATATTCATCCTAAATAAACAGAAACTGTTTTTGTATCGAGTGTGACGCCCATGAGCATCAATTACAGCTTCACAACGTCTGTGCATGCCCCGAATGATATCGCGTATTCGGTTTTGTGGGGTAGCGTTCCACTCGGCTACCAAAGCTGTTCCCAGCTCATGGAGCGTTCTTGACTAAACATTTCTGGCAAAGAGAACTGTCTGCAGCATGTCCCACACATGTTCGATGGGATTTAGATCCGGCAAGCGGGCTGGCCACTCCATTCGTTGAATAGTCTCTTGCTGTAGATACTGCTCAGTCACCCTTGCTCCATGTGGCCTAGCATTATCGTCCATTAGGATGAAGTCAGGGCCGATTGCGCCAGCGTAGGCTCTGACATAGGCATCACGGATTGCATCGCAGTAAATCGGGCCGTAACAGTACCATTATGGAAGACATGGAGGTCAGTTTTTCCACGAAGGCTTATGCCTCCCCACACCATCACTGAACCTCCGCCATATCGGTCATGTTCCACAACGTTACCTGCCTGGAACCTCTCCCCAGATTGTCTCCATACTCTAACGCGGCTGTCGGTTAAGTTGAGACAGAATCTGGACTCGTCAGTAAAAATAACGGTTTCCCATTCCTGAAGAGTCCAAGTAATGTGAGCTTGGGCACAATCTAATCGGTCCCTAACATGGCGGACAGTTAAGGGAACTCGTATTGCTGGTCTACGTGACCTTAAACCAGCATCATGAAGACGGATCCTAAATATCTGAGTGGCTACCCGGGTACCAGAAGCATTAAGGAGGTCATTTCGTAAAGCTGTGGTAGTCTGGAACCTGTGACGCCGTGCCTGTATGAGCAAAATTCGGTTTTAGCGCTGCCTTGTAGCCCTAGAACGACCTTCAGCATGACGTCTGGAAGGGTTTCCGTTAGTTTGGAAACGATTCCACATTCTTGCCACCACACTTTGAGACACCCCAAGGTGTGCTGCAACCTGACGTTGAGACATGCTAGCTTGCAGCATTCCGATGCCCCTATTAATTTCACCGCCATTTAATCGTTGTTTGGTTCGTCTTTGTGCCATATTAAAACAAAAACACGCAAAAAATGTTCATCAAATTGATTTCCTTAACAACTTGAACAACGCCTTACTTAGTCTAGCTTAGCTTTTGAAAGGGGGGTACACGTGGAAAAGCGTGCACTCGCTTTTATGGTTGACTGAACACACCCACACAGGACGAGTTGGAAGGCTAACATATTCGCCCAAAACAGTACGGAAGGAAAATATAATAACCTTTCTAACATTTTGATTTTTTTTTTTTAAATAAAGGTGATCCTTAGTAAACTGAGAGTAGTATATATATCATGCTGCACGCTATCCATTATGGCCCCTCCCGAGGAGATTTTATGTTTGTGCTATCTGAGGAGGTAATATAGTGTCCGAATCATCAGATATCATGTACCTAACCAGAAAACACGACAAGAGAGATTTTTCCGAGGAAAAGGACCATAATAGATTTTGTAGAATCAATGACTAGTAGTTCTTCTAACCCTTGTAATCGAACTCTTTAAAAATAAACGTCTATCCTTTTTTCGACATTGAAACAGTATTCAATTTAGTGATTAATACATAGTAAAGAATCATATCAATGAGCATGTCCTAAAACATCGACCCTCTTGTCGCACGAAGAAATAATATATTGCCAGTTGAGATCGCGATGGCGTCCATAAAACTAGTCAAACTGTTCATTAACCTGCGTCTGTGGAAACTGTGTTGTCAGTCTGTAAGTATGCTACGACAAAAGACACAGTTATATAGAATGTATATAAAACAACTAAGATCCAATGCATTTGGTCAGAGACCCTTCAATAAAGCAAACTAACCGCAAACTAATTGTAATGGTGTGTTTAAGGATAGTTAGGGAAGGATTTTATCTGATTAACTGCATGTAGTGAGATGAGATCAGTTTACTTGTGGATGGGGGACGTCTCATTCTAAAGGTTTAAGTATTACTACCTTCTCCTTCTTTCTGTATCTCATATATCTTTGGTTACAACTGTACATATTAATAACATGTTTATTATGGCTAATTTAGTCGCGTTTACTTCATAAATATCAGTATTTTAAAACAAATTGTTGATTGTTTTTTTGCTTGTTTAGTCCGCCAGATTTGAAGAACCTGTGTATCTGATAGACTGACATAGTATGATACTAGAGGGGATTAACCGTCGATCAGGCTGTCTATGGCGTTTGGAGGAAAACTATACTATCACATATTTATCTGCCAGACGGACCTCGGGTGTCCTATTAAAATGAAACACGGTGTTAACTACATTGTACGATTGCAGAGTTATTTGAGCAGTCGTTTTCCTGGTCGGTCATCACAACAAAAATGCAGATTCATTGGCTGTGAAGTTATAAATAACAATAGTATCATGAAGTGTATCTCATATTAGATTGTTAAGTCGTTACGCCTTGGTAGTCACCAAGGTCAAACAAGGACAAAATATCTGTCTATAAATAGCAAGACTAAATTAAAACAAATACGAAATAATCTTTTTTGATGTAAAAATATGCAGATACTGCTGATTCTGTATTGTATTTTGTACTTATTTTGTACACATTTGTCCATATTGTATTTTGTCCTTATTTTGTACACATTTGTCCGTATTTGTCCACTTTTTGTACACTATTTGTCCACTATTAGGTCCTAGTGGAAGGGGATGTGTAGACGTGGGTTCGATGCGCGTCGTTGTCATTTTCACTTTTTATTTCAATTTTCTTTTGTATAGAATCCTTCATACTATCATCGGAATGTTCGATTTGTAACGAGGTTTTTGATTGGCTATTTCTAAACAAGTGTTATGATTGATTATTAATTATAACAAGGCTTATGATTGGTTAAAGCAATAAACTCTATAAATGCATGAAGTCTGCAGTCAATAAGATTCATATGATGTTGTCAAACTCTCCATACACTAGCCGTACGAGAGAAAGAAAATGTCGTCAAAACGGCAAAAAAGATTATCTGACAAAGATCTGGTACGATCCTAAACACGTTGCCGGTTTTTCGGGCCCTTCGAGTGTGTATGCGTTCGTCCGAAAAGAAGGAAAAT